CAAGCTCTGAGACGAAGGCACAGTCACCTGTGGTGAATTCAGCAGAATAAAGCTGCAGAATGGGAACCGCTGAGTTGAGATGGCAGTAGGGTTTGGGGTTCAGTGCCTGTAAATACATGCTTGTAGTTTGAATAAAGCTTTGTTTCATGTGTTGTTGACTTGTATATGCATTTGTTTATTGTGCTGGTTACTTTTATTTGTTCTTTTACTCATTTATTCATGTTTCTTATTGTTGTCCGTATATAAAATATATATATATATATATATATATATATAACATGCATAACTATGTAATATGACAAAACAAATTACATTTTGCTTGTTATATTAAATTATATTTTTAGTATATAAAAAAGTTATATAATTAAGTATTGGTCAGCAATTAATATTATTATTTTCTTTACGTTTTGGGGTGGGCCAACAATACAATTCATTCTGAGGTAATATTAATTTTTAAGGAGTGATGCTTCAATTTTTTCGAGTATAAAATCAACAGTTTCATGATGACAAAACAGAAAATATAAACATCATTGGTTTGTGTACATCATAATATGACATTATAAAATTATATTTATACACTAGAAAAAAAACAATAACAAGGCTAAATATCTTCATAATAATTCTTCATAATACAAAAAAAAATCTTGAGGGATGAAACGAGGTAAATTCATCAAGAAAAAGAGGGAAAAAACATTTTGGGTATAAAATAAAGAAATTAACAACATATTCAAGAGATTTCACGATTTTGGGGTTTCTTAATAAATATATATATATATATATATATATATATATATATATATTGTTATAAGAATAACACGTGGGTCACATTAGTACGGTTTAAAATATAACAACTTAAATCAATCCTAAATGTATTCACAAAATAAACGGGCAGCTGTTTCTTCAACAATAATACCACAACAAAATGAGCAAGTTTCATCAATATCGAGATATTTGATAGATTAATTAAACGTATCGTTGTGAGAACGCGTCGTAGGTCACATGATTTACGTCAACATGGCAGATGTCCGGTTCGCATTCATACTTTGGTTATAAAGTACCTACTCTTTTCGCGCTCGTTGAGTAAGTACTTATTGAAATTAAGTACCTACTCATTGAGTATGCGGTTTGGAACGCAGCCAGCGAGCTGTCATGCGCCGACGTCACAGTTACGTCACGGCACTAGCTGGAGGGCTCTGGGCTGCACGAGCTCTGATGACGACACCGCTGTTCCACGATTCAATCACGTGCGTTTCGTGTTTACAGAGATCGCTAAGACATGTGACCAACTGGGCGGCAACGTCATCAGAACGCAATGTTTGGCCAGTTTACATGGGCTAGCATCATAGCAGGCTTGCTTTCTGACATGAAAAAAATAAATCGTACAAAATGCAGCGGGCTAAAGATAACATTGTCAGTGCTCGAAGTGGGAGAGTACTCACCGGTACGCAGTACCAGCACTTCTACATTTTACTCTTTTAAGCATACCTGCACTGTTTCTTGCGTACCGCTATGCAGCCGATGAAGTGTGACGGCCCTTATTTACACTGCACATCTGCGGCACGATACAGCTACCGGAGCTGATCCGGTTCCGGTTTGCATGTTAACCCTCAGGTGCTCTTCGGTCATTTCTGAATTTTAAAAATCACAGCTTCATCGGAATGTTACGAAACTTGGTGACTTTTATGGCATTGGGTATGTGAACACAAAAAAAAATTGAGGTCATGATCCGAGCATGCTAAGTGGTCGTAAAAAAAAATAGTCACACTTGTGCTCTTCGGTCAAAAATGACAACCCATAGGAAATGAATGGGAAATTGATACAAAAAAAAAATTCTCTGAATTTTTGTATGTACAATCTACAAATCGGCCACAATTCTAAAAAAAAAGTACACCGCAAGAAAGAGGTGACACTCTACAACATCTAGAGTGCAAAACAGACACACCCACCAACACACACACACATACAAACACACTTTTATACACATACACACCAATAAATTTTGATTACAAAAAGTATGTTTTGAATTTTTAAAAATCACAGCTTCATCGCGATGTTACGAAACTTGGTGACTTTTATGGCATTATGTATGTGAACACACAAAAAAATTGAGGTCATGATCTGAGCATGCTAAGTGGTCTTAAAAAAAATAGTCACACTTGTGGTCTTTGTTAAAAAATGACCCCATAGGAAATGAATGGGAAATTGTAAAAAAAAAAAAAAGAAGAAAAAAATGTGAATATTTGTTTTTTGTCATTTTTTTTTATAAGAAATAGTTTTTGAGATTGTTTCAACTATATATACAAATCCACCAACAACAACAACAAAAATGTGTTCATAAACAGCTGGGGAATTCACATGCCTCTCAATAGAGAGCTGTACATGCCATCTAGTGGTTACACCATGATTCTACGCTTTTTCTCTATACTGTAACCAGATGGTGCTAATTTTCTTCAAAAAATATTTTTTTTCTGAAGGCCTAGATTCTATATTAAACTAAAAAACTGCATTAATATTTTTTTGAAGAAAATAATATATATATAGAAACTAATATATATTTTTCTATGGCAAAAATAAACCATAAATATTGCATAAATATTAATAAATTCATTTAAATTGTCTCAAAATACTAAATTAAAAATAATAAATATTATAAAACAAAAATAAATTGCATTGGTTTTACTGGGATGGAGAAAGTTTCATTTTTAGGTGTCCGGTCACTTTTGACCGGGAAGATAACAAGTGTGACTCCGAAACGAAGAGCACCTGAGGGTTAATCAGTGAGTGCATTCACACACCGCGCAGAGGAACGGCGCGTGAGCAGTGAAGTCAGGGTTCAGGCAGAGTGTATTTGTGTTGTGATGCTCATTTCAAGTGAAAGCACACTTTTGATGGAGAAAATAAGTATGATTTCACACAAAAAGTGTCCAAAATGCACAGAATTTGCATGTCTAGTGTGTTTTAACAAGAACTGGAGTAGGCTACGTCAGAAAAGGAAATTTTTTGACTCAAAAATATTTATTTAGCCATTTAAACTTCTCTTAATTATTCAGTAAAACTATATGTTTTATTAATAAATAAAACGAGCAAACTAGTCAGAATAAACCTTTCTTTTAGTTTATGTAATAGCCACAGACAGGTACATGCCCATTTCAAACCCGAGTGTAGCCTACTTTTTATTGTTTGCTGTCTTGTAAACATATCGAAGTATGACTGAATCAGAGACAATATCAGAGCTGTTTTTTTGTTTTGTTTACCATTTACATACAATTGTTGTATACCTCCAATCTTAACAAACTTCAAGAATCAAGTTTATTACTGACCAACTTCTAAAAAGAGAATTTCTTTATAAAGAAATGCATGCACACATACTTGTTTAAATACATTTGTGTTGTTAATACATAACAATAAATTGTTGTTGTACCAGCAATATTTCCCAATTTAGTTTTTCACTGTAGAAATGTCAAATGTCATGATTTGCCAATGCAAGAGAGTCGATTTTTGCTGCCTTGTCGAAAAAAAAGCTACCGTAGCACGAATTGATCACAGAATGCCGATTAAAGTCGTTTGAAATACAATTATAATATAATTCTAAGTTATGAGTAGCTACTATATACTGTAGACTACTGTTTTTATTTTTAAAACGGTGTGAAAAGTAAAAATGATCATAAAGTATTCATCTTTGACTTGTCACCTTTCCACCTTTCCTCATAGTAACTGAAACTTTCAGTTATTCTTTTTCAGCTGGCTGACCGTATAAATATTCATATGGTAGTTAGCATTTTTTAAAGGGAAATTAAACATTATAACAGGAAAATGTACTTTTTGTAAAAAAAAAAAAAACTGTGAGTCTGCACATGCGCATAACCGGTAAGTAGCAAATCTCGATGGGTAGCATGAATTGTCAGAACACTGAATTTTTTATTTTATTTTTTGTCAGAAAAATTTTCAAATGTATGCTATTCCACACTCATCGCTCTCTGTCATTTGCATGTAGTCAGAATTCCTGTCAAGATTGCAATGCTGGAGTGTGCGTGCCAAAAACCCCGTTCACACCGCCAGCGACGTTGTAGCTGTGTGTCGCTAGGCTACTGTGATGTCGCTTGTGGGCCGCGGGCGTTCGTAGTGCTGTTGCTCTAATGTTATTGGTAAACTGCACGCCTGGCCATATCTATACAAAATACCATCACAACTATATCATTTTAATTAGACTTGAAATAAATGACTTTTAAGGCTAAAAAGAAACCGTATGCTGTTGGGAGAGTGTTTATATTACCACAGCAGTATTCAGTGGATGAAATCATCTACTAGATTAACGATCGATCAATGAACAAATTAAACTCACTCATACGGTCATAAATTATAAAGACGTCATTCGAATTTGACAAATAATCAATTTCCTTGTCCCTAATAGTCAACGTAATTGATAATTACAGTTTACAACACAGCAGGTAGACGGCATCTTGTACAGTGTTTGTGCCGCGGATTCCCAAAATGCTTTGCGTTCACCACTGGTAATACGTCACGTTAGCAATCTCTATTCTCACACCTTTAGTTCCACTAAAGTTGGAGTTTTTCTCAACTTTTTAAGTTGATGATAGACAACCCTACACCAGAGTAAATCTGCTGCAAGCCATGATTTAGCCTGTGGTAATATCGGTGAGGAATCATGTCAGGGCTGGATATGGCACACGAGAGGGACAATATTGCTTGTGATGTCGATGAAGTGAAAGTTTCATTTTGCAAGAGGAGTCAGTGAAGATGAGGTTTTGTGTTTAATGTTTTCAGAAATTGTGTTTTAAAACTAATATTTCGGTGGCTCTCTCGTTTTTGCATGTATTCATAATTTCTTTGTATGTCATCGTATCCGCTCAATTTGGCATGTTTCATTGCGTTATCACAAATAAAACAATTTACTCCAAGCACAACCATGCTTATAATAATATTTGAATAAAGGGTGTCAATTTTCCTAATCCCAAAATCACTTTTTGCCTTTCTCTCACCTCCCTCTCTCTCCAGGATGTAGCAGAGGTTCACAGTTTTGAGGATTTCCTCCAGCTGAAGGTCAGAAACGCCCTTCTCTTGCATATCCTGAACAGAGTGAGGATAGATGACCTGATCTCTCAGCGTTCCCACCGACATATAAGGCCTGAAAAAAAATAATAATAATAATAATAAATCCTGCCATTTAATCATTTAGTTCTATTTGTTATGGAGGAGTTGTAATGAAACTTGAGTCCGAGTCTGTTTTTAGTGGATAAAATATCCGGATTCATTTGATGAAAAGGTAACTTTTATATTTCTCACTGTGTAATAATATTTTCAGTGTGTCTTGTCTGATCTATCCCATACGGAAGCCCTGAACCGCAACCTAAAAAAAAAAAAAAGTCAGTAAAAAAAAAAAAAAAAAAAATCTGTAAAAAAAAAAAAAAATCTGTAAAAAAAAAAAAAATCTAGCATTTCGAGATTAAAGTCGAAATGTTTCGAGATTAAAGTCGAAATGTTTCGAGATTAAAGTCGGAATGTTTCGAGATTAAAGTCGAAATGTTTCGAGATTAAAGTCGAAATGTTTCGAGATTAAAGTCGAAATGTTTCGAGATTAAAGTCGAAATGTTTCGAGATTAAAGTCGGAATGTTTCGAGATTAAAGTCGAAATGTTTCGAGATTAAAGTCGAAACATTGTGCATTCATAACAGTGCGCGTCCACTGGCTCAGAGCGCACGCGCGTGTGAAGTCGAACTGCCATGGATAAACACAAAATAGTAGCTTTTTACTTTTATCTGAATTACTTATCTTACTTTATCGTTATAAAATATAATGCGCCGGAATAGACTTTAGCCTATAGGAAAACCAACACGGAAAACACTTTTCAGACTGGATGGAGAAATCCAGCTTTATGAATGAATGAATGAATGAATGAATGAATAGGGCATTTATATAGCGCTTTCATATATGCCTACACTCAAAGTGCTTTACAATCATATCAGAGAATCTCTCCTCAACCATAAGTGGTTATTAAATCTTAGGAAATCACAGGATCCGGCCAAATGATTGGATACAGAATGATGCACTTAAAATGTATCCAGAGCGTACGTTGAAGAGGGAGACCGAACAGTTACTGTTGTGTTCTCGACCCAGATAGTGTTGACTAGACGAGCACGAAAACACCTCAGAAACACTGCCACTAGCACGTGACGTGTGTAGAATTTTGTTGAAAGCCCAGATAAAAGTAAAAAGCTACTATTTTGTGTTTATCCATGGCAGTTCGACTTCACACACACACACACGCGCGCGCTCTGAGCCAGTGGACGCACACTGTTATGAATGCACAATGTTTCGACTTTAATCTCGAAACATTCCGACTTTAATCTCGAAACATTCCGACTTTAATCTCGAAACATTCCGACTTTAATCTCGAAACATTTCGACTTTAATCTCGAAACATTTCGACTTTAATCTCGAAATGCTAGATTTTTTTTTTTTTTTTTTTTACAGATTTTTTTTTTTTTACAGATTTTTTTTTTTTTACTGACTTTTTTTTTTTTTAGGTTGCAGTTCAGGGCTTCCGTAATCCCATGTTTCACATCCTGCATTAATAATTTTCATAAAACGAAGGCAAAATGGGTGAAGTGTTTCAAAATGTACCCTACTCAAATCAATTGAGCATTAGGCACATCCTATAAAAAGGAGAACAAAGTCTTATTAAATCTTTTTTCTCATTAACAGTTCTAATATAGATGTTCAGTGAACTGCAAGCAGTCCAAATGACAAACAGCTGCAGGTTTTAAATGATGTCGGACACATCCCGTTGTGTGATCATGAACGCGACGCGACGCTGTGCTCCTGTTGGGTTTGTAATGAAGCCGACATGTAACGCAGTCACAGGAGCACCATATGTGCTGACTGCTTTTGGATTGTGCTCCTCGTTTTAATCAGCATGCTCATCAGCACTAATTAACCTGGCACGGCGTGGGAAATGGAAATAAACACATGCCCGCACACCCACGTCTCTGCCTTCTAATTGATCTTAATTCTTAAACAAAAATCCAGCAGATTTGAGTCTCAGACCTGGGCCCTGAACCTGCACAAAGAGAAATCATCAGCCTTCTACAATCACATGCCAATTTCTACACTACTGGCATTTCCATAATATTCTGTGTATGCTAGATTAGATTTAGTCTCAAATCAGAGTCCAAAAACAAAAATAATTTTAAAGGTGTTGATGACATATTGGTTTTAAACTGTGCTTTTTACACATGTTTTATCTAAAAATAAATCCAAGGCTGAAGCTGCTACATTGGTTGTACTGTATGTAAAGGTAATGAATTTATCCAGATGGTAACTCTCACATGACAAAGAGTATCAGCACGCAATATTCAAGTTTTGTAGTGTCTCCCGATACCGATATAACTTTTGCAATTAAAGCTTGGTAAAACGACTATGAAAAACATCTACATTTTTCTGCCTGTTGATGATACGCAACATGTCTCGCTATATTTACCAATGTGCTCCGAAAGAGCCAGTTGTCAAATTATTTTTACATTTTTTAATTTCATCCCCCTAATTCAGATTTTTTAATTACTAAATTATTAGACTTTTGAGTATTATAGAATTTTTATTTTGGTTACATCTTTGAGGAACAACAATGAAAATAGTAATAAAAAATATAGAAGGTGCATTTTTACCCCCACCAAGTGAACACAAGAAAAATAAATATTTATTTTATGTATATATGTATATATATATATATATATGAAGAGTTCAGATGCAAAAGCCTCTAAATGCCATTTGAAATTTTCTTCTAAAATGACCATTTTTATCAAGCTTGTATATTTAAGTTCAGTAATTTCACTTAAATGACAATTAATAGGTAATTATCATTGCCATTTAAGTGAAATTACTGAACTTAAATATATAAGCTTGATAAAAATGATCATTTTAGAAGAAAATTTCAAATGGCACTTAGAGGCTTTTGCATCTGAACTCTTCATATATATATATATATATATATATATATATATATAAACAAATAATATAATACACATTAAAAATAACATAACATTGATATAGGTTTTTATAATGAAATTATAAATTATTATATTAAATTATAGACTTTTGATTATTATAAAATTTTTATTTTGGTTACATCTTTGAGGAACAACAATGAAAATAGTAATCAAAAAATATTGAAGGTGCATTTTTAAGTTTAAATTAGAGCATTAAAACATAGTAAAACAGACTATATAGTCATCAGACAAGAGAGAAGGATGGATTGCTCAACTAAATGGCTACTTGAAAAAGGCTTCAATTTACATATCCTTAGGGTGTGTTAACAAAACTTCACACTTGTAGTTCGGTTCGCTTGGTCTAGACCAAAAAAAACCTCAAACATATAGTCCTGGTCCGTTCACATTTTCATTTTCAACACCGCACCTAAAGCCATAGGGATACATTCACAAACGAATTGGTTGGCTTTTACTACGTTATTTCGAGACAGAACTTATCGAACATCCAAAACAACACTGTGTGCTGGGCTTAATGCGGTCGTTGTATGTGCGTAGTCTACATTTGATGGTATTCTGACCAGCTAAGAACTCATGAAAAGCTTATAAAATGTGTAAAAAGGCCGTCATGAATCGCTCTGTCACACTAACAAATGAGGAGACGCCGTTCTGATGCCTGTACTGAACTGTGATGGGCAACATCACGACTATGACAAGAAAAAACTGGTAAGTTTGAGCATTCTGTCCTTTTTAGGGTTGTATATTGTGACACCATGCCCCATTTTGTTTATTTACTTGTCTTTGGTCCATATTGTGTTCATATTTCATTCGAGTTAATTTGGAAGCGGATCGAGACCCATCTTTTCAGCATTCTCGGCCCGTTTGTTTGATGCACACCAGGGTTTGGATGGTAGTGTTCACACTTATGTAAATGAATCCCACTAACAGAGCAATCGCACGAGGGTTTGTTTTAATCGAACCAAACATGCCAAGTGTGAACACACCCTTACATGAAAAACTAGTCCTACCTACTACATAGTCAAAAGCATATGCTGTAGCTTCCCATCACGAGTGAAGTACATATTTTAATGCACTCTTTTTAGGTCACCGCGTGTAATCTGTGTGTAGTACCTTTGAGGTATGTAAAACATGTGCTCGGGTGACGGCTTATAGAGCACTCCACTGTAGACGGGCCAGAGGCCACTCAGGATCCTGAACAGAGAGCTTTTTCCACAACCGTTGGGCCCCGTGATCAGCAGATGCATGCCTTCTTCAACCTGGAGAGAAAGACCCAACATCCCCCAACATGTTAAAAAAGACACACAACCATACATGCAGCAGACCCCAGAACACCCCCACAGAGAGAGAGAGAGAGGGATACACAGGGGGACAAACCACGGGAAACAGCTAAATGTGTTTACAAATTCAGCAAAGCCACAGGGTTAAAAGGAGCAACTGTGATGGGAAACGCTTGATGGTTTTCAAAGGCTCTCTCTAAAACACAACGTACCAAGAAAAACAGATTGCTCCCTCTCTGCACCCTGTCATTATGTTAAAGCCCTCCATTCACCAGACACATAAATATACCAGCGCGGCATCCAGCTAGGGCGTCAATTACTATTAAAAGACCTTCAACACAACACCAAACCAATGTGAATCATCTGGGTTCAAAACATCTGGAAGCGGTGTTAATGATATTTCCAAATATAGAGACGAGCTGTGCGAGTGACTTCAGCCTGTTTCCATGGCTGTCGGGCAGCGAAGCGCAGATTTAACCGGATTTAATCTTAAAGGAACGGTTGAGTTCATCCAAAAATGTAACAACCTTAAAGCAACGTCACATTATATCTGGCCTCCGTGAGAGGTTTCATCTATCACATCATTGTCTACTGTGTTTCCTCATCTTGGCTTGCAGTGGGCGGTCTGCTTTTGGCTGAGAAAGCATTGTGGGTAACATGAATTGTGTCATGAGCGCACCGCATGACTGCGACATCATGGCCATGAGAGGGTATTAGCACCATGCCGCCCCTGCAAATCGAGGCGCTGTCGTGGAAACCCTAAGAGCACACCAACGCACGACCGGAATATAATCAGCACATTGTCCAGGGCGGACCAGAGGGGGGTCACACTGGGGTACCCATGACCCATTTTTTTAGAATTTGGTAGGAAACATGAATTAATCATAAGGGAGCAGATACTCATTCTATAGTCAAAAAATAGGTTTTAAAGAATTCTGGTGCAAGACTGAACTGCATCTATGACTGATTCCCACTGAAATAGTCAATTAAACAATGATTGCTATACGCTAATAATTCAGTGTACGTTGCGTACTGATGGGGTCAGAAATTTCATGTAAAATTTCCCCCGGATTCAGGCGAATACACACATACATTTTTTCATACCCTCATTCTAATATTGATAAATCCAGAAATTATTATTATTCTATAGAAATTATAAAGAATTCTAATAAAAAACTTGAATAAAAGTGTAAAAATATATTTATCATTAATATTTGCAAAAATAATCCTTCATTTTGGAATGATGTACTAAAAGACGTTGTTTTGTATGCGTGTTGCTGAACTGCCATGCAATGCATCTAAAATTACTTTAAACAGCTTTTTATAATTCTTGTATAATTATCATACATGGATTTTAATGCATTTCTTCATATTAATGGAGCATGGATTTTTTTTTTCCATCTACAAAATTGCAAAAAGAATCTAAAAGGTGCTATAAAAATGGTAATAAAATGTGACCAGTTAAATCACCTTGTATACATTTCCCTTAAATATTAACCAAAAAGCTTGATCTTAAAAAAACACTGACACGTCCATGTTGTCAGTCAGCTATCCTCATATCAGCTCTGCAGGTGTTATCTAAAACATGTGCATAATAAACAGCGGTGCTGAGAACATATCTAATGAAAATCTGCAAGACCGGGACATATTTTGCTGAACTTATCTTGCAAGCTTTAAAGTTTACGGCTTTAAGTCCTGTCAATATGTTTTGAGCTGTACAGAATAACTGTCTATATCTGTCAGAGCACAGGCGGCGAAAACTAATTCAAGATAAGCTAATGCAAGCAAAACTGACAGTAAGAGCGAATGACCAGAATACATACAAATTCTCTATGGGGGTCTCATTATAATCTCCACCTAAACCCACTATAAACTGTCAAAGGTCAGACACTGATTAGCAATGCTGTATTATCAGTGAAGTACTCACAGGACTGCGCCAGAGAAATGAAAACAGATAACAGCCTCATTGACATATTCACACTTCACATGCACATAAATCATGCATGTTGCATCAGACCATGGGCTCATTTACTCTGCATGAGCACGAGATATTGCAGCATAGAGTAAGAAATAATTGAATATACAGTCTCCTTAGCTGGAAAATGGAGAACGGTTTTAAGTGGTTGTAACAAGTATGCAATCCCTACTACCCGCATGCTACTTTTGCACTGGTAAAATTAGATTATGTATTAAAATGACTAAAGGAGGTTATAAGATTGGAATTTACCTTGATGTTCAGGCTGGAAACCACCACATCCCCTGTAGGAGTTATTATTGGCAGGTTTTCACATTTAATACCCTGTTCCACATCAATCACCTGACCTAAACAAACACACACAAATAAGATTTAATGTAACGACTATGTTCATGGAATATAAACAACGTACTGTTCAGTACATACTTAATATAGACTACAGTTGAAAAGTTTGGGGACGGTAATATTTTTTTTTACGTTTTTGGAAAAAACAAATCTCTTATGTACGGAAGAGGATTAGGGCCAGGCAATAATAAAAAATAAAAAAACATCTCGAGATTAAAGTCATTATAATGCGACATTAAACTCATTAAATTTTGAGAAAAAAGGCAAAATACAATCTTGAGAATAAAGTCATTAAATATCTAGAATAAAGTTGTTGTGTTTCAAGAAAAAAAATCGTTAAATTTCTAGAAAAAAAGTCGAAATACAATCTTGAGAATAAACGTATTAACTATCGAGAATAAAGTTGTTGTGTTTCAAGAAAAAAGTCGTTAAATTTAGAGAAAAAGTCGAAATCCAATCTTGAGAATAAACGTATTAACTATCGAGAATAAAGTCGTTGTGTTTCAAGAAAAAAAGTCGTTAAATTTCAAGAAAAAAAAAGTCGAAATACAATCTTGAGAATAAACTCATTAAATATCGAGAATAAAGTCGTTGTGTTTCAAGAAAAAAATCATTAAATTCCTAGAAAAAAAGTCGAAATACAATCTTGAGAATAAACTCATTAAATATCGAGAATAAAGTCGTTGTGTTTCAAGAAAAGAATCGTTCAATTTCTAGAAAAAAATTCCAAATACAATCTTGAGAATACTCATTAAATAGTGAGAATAAAGTCGCTGTGTTTCGAGAAAAAAACTCGTAAAATTTTGAGAAAAAAAAAATCAAAATACAATCTTGAGAATAAACTTATTATATATTGAAAATAAAGTCGTGTTTCATGAAAAAAATCGTTAAATTTCTAGAAAAAAAGTCGAAATACAATCTTGAGAATAAACTCATTAAATATCGAGAATAAAGTCGTGTTTCAAGAAAAAAATCGTTAAATTTCTAGAAAAAAAGTCCAAATATACTCTTGAGAATAAACTCATTAAATATTGAAAATAAAGTCGCTGTGTTTCGACAAAAATTTATTACATTTCGAGAGAAAAAAAATCAAAATACAACCTTGAGGATAAACTCATTAAATTTCGAGAATAAAGTCGTTGTGTTTTATATTTAAAATCCTACAGATACCAAACTTTTCAACGGTCATGTACACCAATAAATGATGCAATTGTAACTGTGTAAACTGTAGTATTCTGTACTGTTATGACATGAATCCAATTTTCATTGAAAATCATGGTTTACATAGCTGCCAGTTCATTTTCCAAACCATAAATGGGGTCAAGTCGAGCGCATTGCATTGTAGGATATAATATTCTGTATAAGATACATTTTGAAGTAAGATCATCTGCGAATTCCATGCATATAGGAAACTAATGTGCAAATTATACAAACTGCATAATACTTTTTAGATGGTATGCTCTTCCGAAAAAGTCTATAATGTTACATAATACACAACTTAAAGAGAAGCAACTAAACCTCTTATCTGCAGCGGTCCCTCCACTCTCGTGCCATGTGTCACCATCTGAGCTGCTCCTGTCTCTTCTGGCTTCACCTCTGTGGCCGAACGGCGGTACACCCCGGCACGCACTTCCTCAAACACCTCGAACATCTCATACACACGAGCGGTATATCCAGCCAGTTCTGTGACCTGTGATGGGATGAGGGAGCATTTTTTAGCAACTTTCACACATGAAACCCTATATAGGCAACGACTTTGACTGGAGAAAGACTGGAATAGTCTAGTTTGTGTTGTCGACATGTAAAGGAGATTCAGTTTTCAGGGGCTGCGGAAGCAAATCCACTTTGACAGAATACATTTTCTTGTAAATCTGTTTAGTTGTTGTTCATATAAAAGTGCATATTTATAGTTTCTGCTTAGCTTGTTCTTTTGCAAACAAAAATGTTTCACTGTTATCTAGATGTAAAAGTGCCTACTGGAAGGTTGGTGTGTGAAATCTCATCTCACCTCTTTGTAGGAGACCATGATCCTCTCCACAGCATCAGCTGCAGCGTTTAGAAGGTTTCGGGCCGTTGTGAAAGCCTGTGTGCGCTCGCTCACCAAGTCCTCCTCCTTCATCACCAGGGCAGCCTGTTTCACATCCTCTGAATCTGAATGGATGCCACAAGAACACGAGCATGAGAAAAATATCAAATACAATAGGGGTGATAGGAGCAAACATGTAGGAACCTTGTTTTGAGGTTCTGTGGAGAAGACATTAACACATAGGCTAGAAGTCTTCTTAACACAGCAGTTTGGGGTCAGAAAAAAACTTTGAAAGGAAGGTTTTTGATGAAAACATTACAGGATTTTTCTCCATATAATGGACTTCAATGGGAACCAAACGGTTCAAGGTCCAAATGAGAGTTTCAGTGCAGCTTCAGAGGGCTTTAAACGACACCAGAGGATGAATAAGGGTCTTATCTAGCGAAACGATCGATCAGCCATTTCAAAAATAAATAAAAAAGTTTACGTTTTATAAGCTCAAATGTTCGCCTTGCTCTGTTCTGTGATGATAGCTTTCCTGTTCGAACTATAACATCAAAATTAACTAATCTTTTTTTGAGAAATTTGGTTCATTCAACGAACGAAATGACTCGGAAAAAAGATTCGTTCAGTTTGATGAACGAGTTCGAACGGGAGAGTCACGAACGTGCGTCGCAGAACAGAGCAAGGCGAGCATTTGTGCTTATAAAACTTAAACTTTTTTATTTTATTTTTTAAATGACTGATCATTTCGCTAGTTAAGACCCTTATTCATCGTCTGGTGTCGTTTAAAGCTCTTTGAAGCTGTGCTGAAACTCTCATTTAGACCTTGAACTGTTTGGTTCCCATTGAAGTCCATTATATGGAGAAAAATCCTGGAATGTTTTCATGAAAAACCTTAATTTCTTTTCAACTGAAGAAAGAAAGACATGGACATCTTGGCTGACAAGGGGGTGAGTAAATTATCAGCAAAAGATTTTTTTAAAGTGAACTACTCCTTTAAATTGCCCAAAGTTTTTCAATTTCAGATTTTTAATGTCTATTTATCAAAGAATCCTTAAAAAAGATGTATCATGGTTTCTACAAATATATTCAGCAGCACAACGGTTTTCAACATTGATAATAATCAGAAATAAGTCTGATCAAATAAATGCGACTTTGGTGAGCATAAAAAATTTATTTTAGAAACCCAACCGTACCAAACCAAACTTTTGAAAGCACACTTCAGGGACAAAAAAACAACAACAACAAAACAAAATTATACTAAATTGTCCCCTTTAAGAAAACCAAATCAACACACGCTCAAAGATGTTCAAGGAAGTTTTGTATTGAAACAAAAGGCCAAAAAAGTCTGGAGCCACAGACACAGAGAGGCGAACAGACTACAGATACTCATCATAATTGAATCCATACCATATTTCGAGTATCCGGTGGCAGTGATGATGGGCACAGCGACCATGACCAGGCCTGATGCGCTCCAGAGATACTTCATCAGGAACTGTTCCAGCATGACATACCACAGCCTCTTGAACAGGATCAGGTTAATCTGCTCGGACAGCGCCGTGTAGCTCCGCTGCAGCTGAAACATCTCGATCTGCGCAGGGCAGACACGCAGGCACGCACACACACACGCAGACATGCATACACGCAGATACACAGGCAACAAGATAACATTAAGCTGGTTTCCAAGTGTCCAATCAGGCTTTCTGATTCATGATAATGTCATTTCACAATTTGTAACTCTTAGTAGGAATAAGCAACGTGTATTTTTAAGCGTAAAAGCAGAGCACTTTAAAACCATCATGAAGGTTAAGTGAAGGTAAATGATGATGATTATCTGTAGTCCCCGTCCTGTGAGAGTGAGAGTCTGGGGTCAAAGTGGAGCATACAGACTTTTGCCCTAATTCCAGGGCGTTCTTTCTATTCAGGCCACGTGACCTCTCTCTATGAACACTTTCTCTGGCCATATGACGATGAAGTTCAGGAACATTTCCAATTGCAGGCATGGGGCACTGTTTGTTTAGCCTGGGACTTTTGCTTTGTCATTGAGGCACAGGTACAAAATGACCTCAAATACTCATTTTACAGGGATAGGTCACTCATAAATGAAAATGCTGTCATCATTTAATACTCACCCTCATTTCTCAAACCTTAAAGACTTCCATGGAACAAAAAAAAACTCTATTATGTACGGTTGCAAAAATAAAAACATACAGACTTTATCGTGCTCACGAGAAAATTTTCTATTTTAAATGTACTATTTTTTTTTCCTGTGACGCAAAGCTGAATTTTCAGCATCATTACTTCAGTCTTCAGTCACATGATCCTTCAGAAATCATTCTAATATAGTGATTTGCTGCTCAAGAAACATTTATTATAATTATCAATGTTGAAAACAGTTAGGTGTAGCTTTATATTTTTATATTTTTGTGGAACCCTTACCCAAGATACTTTTTTTAGGATTTTTTGATGAATATAGTTCACTTGAAATAGACATTTTGGAACATTATAAATGGCTTTACTGACACTTGAATTACATTTTTAGTGTACTAAAGTCAAAAGAAGTGATTAAAATTGTAAGGCACTTTTAAAAATAAATGCTGCTCTACAAAACTAAAAGTGCTCTACGAAACATCCTGGTATACAAGCCAATTGTATTTATATAAAATATTATATATCATTATATAGTACATTATTAAAGGAGTAGTTCACTTTTAAAAAAACGATGGCTGATAATTTACCCCCATGTCATCCAAGATATCCATGTCATTCTTTCTTCAGTCGAAAAGAAATTAAGGTTTTTGATGAAAACATTCCAGGATTTTTCTCCATATAATGGACTTCAATGGGAACCAAACGGTTCAAGGGCCAAAAGACAGTTTCACTGCAAACTGCAACTGTTCAAAGGGCTTTAAACGACACCAGGCGATGAATAAGGGTCTTATCAAGCGAAACGATCACTCATTAAAAAAAATAAATTAAATTTTATAAGCACAAATGCTTGCCTCGCTCTGTTCTATGATGCGCGTTCGTGACTCTCCTGTTCGAACTTGTTCATCAAAATGAACGAATCTTTTTTCGTGTAATTTGGTTCATTCAACGAATAAAATGAACAAATTGACTCGGGAAAAGATTCATTCATTTTGATGAATTTCAAATCTTTTTAAGCTAAGAGATCGCACTGTGTGAGGAGCAGAAAGTTATTCACTGAACAACTTCACTTTTTGGTTCTTTCTGGAGCTCGATTGCTTCTGGTCACGGTCTGTTTTCATGCTATGAAAAAGAAAAGTGTGAACATGCTCCATCTCCATATGCATTCCTCAGAAGAAAGAAAGTCATTCAGATTTGGAAACGCATGAGGGTGAGCAAATGATGACAGAAAACCAACCTAAGAGAATGTTTTCTTACCTTATGTCCTCCATAGAAGGCAATCTCCTCTGAATTGGCGATGATGCGAGAATGCATGTATCTAAGGTCGCCTTTCCTCCTGGCTTCCTCGGCCACAAGTTTACCAAAGCGTGGGGAGAACATTCTCAGGACCTTGGCAGTAAGTGCCACCACGATGCCAGCTATGACGGAGGGCCAAGTGGTGTTGGCACCTTTCGACTCACCTATTTTAATAAGCGTGTAAAAGGTCAACACTACGTCGAGGATTGGTTTGGTCAGGTTAGAGTACAGATGAGCCACAGAGGCAGCAAACATCACCACATCTTCAGTCAAGGACTGATCGGGGTTTGCCAACCTGCCGTCCATGTTGCTGACACGGTAGTACGTCTGATCGTTGAAATAGAGCATGTAGGCATGGGTGACCAGCCGGGTGCGGAAGGCGAGGGTGAGCTGACCCTCCAGGTAACGGATGGCACTGTTCACAAACGTGGCCGGAATGGCGATGAGCAGCCACTTGGTTAACTCCACCACAAAAGCCCTGGGGTCTTTCTTCACAATGGTTTTCACTATTTGCCCATCCAAATTGGCTACATAGATGGAGAGAAAGGTGCGTGAAATGAGGGCTAGAGAGTGGAAACCGAGCAGTCCAAGTTCTTTGCAGAAAAGCCGAGGAAAGAGGATTTTCAAGAGACGAATCAACCTCTCGAAGAATTCACGGTTCACGCCCGGGGAGGTTTTCTTTTTCCTTGAGGCTTCCACTTTTTGAGATTCTCCATTGGAGGTCACCAGGTCGGCACCCTTAACCTGTTTACTAGTTCTTCCTTTGAGCCTGCCATAAACGTAAGGGGAAAGTTTCTTCGCCCCATACAGCGCAACAAGAACGAGAATGGTCTTTTTCACAAGGGGGTTTTTCAGCTGGGAGGGAAGCTTTGAGTACACAGACATTTTGCTTGTAGCTTATCAATACTGAGATCATTCAAAGTGAAGGTTATTGAGGCAGGGTTGCTAAAATACACAGCTATATGGATATCTATTCATGTAAACTAGCCTAATATAAATGTGATTTCAGCAAATCGACAGCATCAGTTCTAGTTGCGGAGACAGAAATTAAATTAAACGGAAAAAGTGGAAACTTGTGCGTAATTCTATTCTTCTTTCTTTTTTTATCGACAATGTTTATTATCATACAACATAAAGCATAATTATGTTCTTAAGACCCTGCAATCTTTAACGTTACTCCTATTTGAGTGAGAAGATAAACTCAAATATTTATCATTCTAACGAACGATCGGAGTTATGCCATACAATTGAGAGTCAATAAACTCTATAGACTATTCTTACTTTATGTCAATAATTGTCTTATTTTAATCTATATTTGTTTAAGCTAAGGAGTTTTTAGAAGAAACACAGGCTAAGTTACTTAACTTAACGTTACTCACTGAGGAGCTTCTTTGGGAAATGTTTACAGGATAAAAAAAAATAAAGTTAAACGTAAATATTTTGCGAGTAAGAATGGGAATATACTTAAAATGGTAAATTATCAGGCAAACAACATGTCCTGACTTCAGAGGTAGTTCAAATGACAGCTAGCAAGACAAGCTAATAAACTCAGTGTAGTTACTAAAAGCAACAGCGGTGCGACACAAAAACACAACACAGTAAGTCGATTATAAACACTATTTACACGTTTACATATCCGCTATATTGAATCAAACAGCATGTAAATGTCAAATAAGTGTCGTTTAAGTTGCGTTGCTAGCGCTGCTGGCTAATATTCACTTTACTTTAACTTCCTCCGTCCAACTTTCCGTCTGTTTTGATCATCCACGTAAAGGTCATTTTCACTGCAGATCTGAAACAAGACAGGCCATAATCGTGGTGAGCACATACGGTCCCTGTCATTTAACTCATCCAACGGTCCGAATGCAGAATCGAAGCCACCGGTGTGTGTTTGAGGGCAGGCATAAATCCATCAACCCCACCGGGACTTAGGATCAGTCGAATCTCAGTGAAATGCGCCGATAGGTGGAGTAAACGCAGGAATTACTCACGCCACACTACACAAAAGTCACACACAACTGTTGCTTTCATAATCATTGGCGTCCGTTTCATAATCACTGTTAGTTTTACTGCTGCAAGATACAGTAGGCCTATGTTTATTTTAGTTTTACTGTAGTATCTATCTATCTATCTATCTATCTATCTATCTATCTATCTATCTATCTATCTATCTATCTATCTATCTGTCTGTCTGTCTGTCTGTCTGTCTGTCTGTCTGTCAAACAAAACTTCAACTGTAATCAAAATACCACAATCACCGTCTTTAAAATTAAATTGTGATATTATTACATCATTAATTAATATTATAATGTGGTAATAGTCTACTTAGTCATGTGGTTTAGTTGTTGATAAGAATTAAAACTTAATTTCTTCCATTAATTAGTTAGGCCTAACAATCAGTTAGTATGCAGGCTGTTTAAAAAACACAGATTACTGCATCTGACCAAAAAACACTTTATTAAAAACAAACTTTGTACATTCTTGTTTTTTTAATTAGATTTTTTTTTTAATAGAGATAGAAAATGTTGAAAACCAAGGGGAAAAGAGCAAATTATATACAGTCTGGAGAAGTTTCTTCCTAAAGTGATAAAACACGTGATCAGGAAAATAGCGATTAAAGAGGATTTTTAAAATCGGAGCAGGGAAAATACAATCTCCAATAGTATCCAAAACATGGAGGGAACATCTTTATAAAGTGTTAGCATTTGGTACCATGATGAAGCAAAACAGATATAATAAAGTCCATTGGTTTTATTTGCCTTCAGTGTTATCAGTTTATCAAGTCTTTAATCAAAAAATAAAAGGCTGTTATCCTTCATATTCTTCATCCTTTAAATCATTAGGTTCTATGTTATCAACAGAATTTCTTTCAAAACGATAAAAACATTTGACATAGGTGACCTTAAATGTTCTCAGCAAGGTTACAAGCATCATAAACATTCGGCAATCTTCTCACTGGTCACTTGTGTTTTTAGTGAAAGAAATGATACGTTTCTATTAGTGACACATCCATGCATCAGTGGTGTTGATTTGAAATGGACAGACCACAATCAAAGCAGCTTTCAGTGTTCCTGAGACAGCATTTGGTGTCAAGAGAAAGTTTCCATTGCTTCAACTCTCAGCTTTATATTCAAGGTGAAGGCATCTGATCTGACATGAAGAAGCTTTTCAAGACCTAGCCTATGCTGTCAATGATTATACAATGAACCAAAACTAAAAAAAATCAGGGAACGATAGACGAGTCTTAGAGGGAATAAAGAAGAACAGCTACCCGCATGCATTGATACATCTAGGTTTTTTTTTTTTCCGGAAGGTCAGCACTAACACTATAAGAACATAGCAGACTACATCTATTTGAATGGATTAGCCAGCAATCCAAGTGAGTTTAAAATTTTATTTTTCACAGTGTAAAAAACGAATGCGCTTTATCTAATCAAAAAAATTGTGGCAACAGATTACAAGCAATATTATTAATTAAATTTAACAAATTAGAATAATTAATCAAATTAATTCCTTAAAAGTTAACCATTTAAAATGAGTACAACTTACAACAACAACAAATAAACAAAAAAAACTTACATTTAAGTCACCATTATAGTGATCGGTGTTCGTTTTAGGATTGTTTTAAAATGACGGTTTTCTCCTTCAGTGATTCTGCTTGTTAACATCAGGTGTCTTCAATGTTGGCAATAAAATATAAATAGTTCTTAATTAATCTTATTCAGATATTTTTGTTACATTTTTTGGGTGTTTACTCATTTTAAATGGTTAACTTTTAAGGAATTAATTTGATTTATTATTACTCAATTCTAATTTGTTACATTTAATTAATAATATTGCTTGTAATCTGTTGCCACAATTTTATTGATTAGATAAAGCGTATTCATTTTTACAGCGAATCTGGCGGTGTAGGAGATGATTTATTTTTTGAAACTGGCTATGAGAAATACACATTTGTTACATGGAGCTTAGTAAAGTCTTCTCCGCCGCATTTGCTAGGCACAATGGTCCAAGGTTGGCATCCTGGCATTAGGCAATGCCACATTCTGAGTATCCCAATTCATCAAATAAATTCTAAAAGGAGGGTGCTGGAAAATTCTTGCCCATTTCTTGGCTCAAATTCGGAGTCCTGATTTGGTTAATTAATCCTTTTCATTTCATGCAATCAAATTACTGAGAGATACAGTAAATATTGACATCTGCAGTCAATCCGATAGGAAAAACAATGGACAATTGTAATTAAGGCGCTGTACACAAGAAGCTGGTGATTCTTGCGACGAGCACTGCACCTGGCAGGACGCTTTGCATGCATCTGCAGATACAGAACCCCTGAAAACAGATCACGGGGCTCCTCCTAGTGGTCGTTGTTAGAAAACACCTGATAGACACCGGAGAGTCTCATGGAAACGGTCATATTTCACCCCAATATCAATATATATTTAAAAATAACCTTTTCGGTAACACTTGACATGACATGACACATTTCAAATACATGAAGGAAGTTTCATGCATGTTGATGACAACTGTTATTAAGTGTCATTCGCTCAATTATGACATTTTTAATGCAAATATGACATTGTTTGAGATGTCTTGGTAATGACAACTTGCAGTCTTATGCACACCCCTTCAAGTAAAGTGTTACCATATTGGCTCTAAATTTTTCAGACCCATGTTTTTTTTGTTTTTTGCGTGTGACATTTTCATGAACATTAAGCACGTTTCCCTCCCACATTCTCATTACTAATGCATCCGGATGTTTCGCTTTTATTCTCAATGATCACTCCCATTAAATTTTCATTACTGTAATTAAAATTCATCCTGTCCAGAAAGGATCATTTTTTAAATCAGCATTAAATCCAGCGCAATAAAATACTATAATGATCCTTAAATCCATGATTATGTTCTTCTATTACAATAATGAGAATTGGTTTTGTGCTTTCTTGTCAAAGAAAATAATGTCATAATGTCAAAAAACATAATTTTCCTTGTGATTTTGGAGTGAAATGTGTTGTTGACAGTTTTGATGAGATTCGCTCTTTCATTCTTGCTTCATTTCTGAAGAAATGCAATTTTTTAATACTTCAAATTCATTTGACTTCATTCTTCCTGCAAATTTGATGTGATTGTATATAGTAATACTGGTAATTACAGCCTGAGGAAATATAAACCATTATAAATACATATGATACAGATAAAGATGTTGTTTGAGCCGCACAGCGACCTTTGTGCCATTTTTGAAGGCAAAGTTCACCCAAAAATTAAAATGTACTCATACTCAAGCTGTTCTAAACCCGTATGAGTATTTATGAAGTATCTATGTATGTATGAAGATATTTGTAAAGGTTTTGGTTAACAAACAGTTTTTGGTCCCCATTGACTATTGTTTCATACTATGGAAGTCAATGGGGAATAGCAATTGTTTGGTTACCAACATTCTTCTTTTGTGTTAAAGGAATAGTTCACTTTGAAATTAATTTATGAAATTAATTAGGTGTAGGTGTCTTTGTTTCCACAGTAGTTTCAATTTTTATATTTTTAGGTCAAACTGTTCTCGTCTGTGTCATATAATGCAGGTCTATGGTCACCACCTTAAAGAGCATGCACAGAGAAGTTCAAATTAAACATGATTTAATGATAAGCTAAAACATACCAAAAATGAATTTCAAAGAGAACTGTCCCTTTAAACTCATAAACTCATACAGGTTTGGAACAACTTGAGAGAGAGTAAATGACAATTTTTGATTTTTTGGGTGAACTATCCCATTATCATCCTGAATGAGCACAACATGTATACTCTTTTACATTAGTAATAGACATACTAACAGAATTATAAATTTCATGAAATACAGAGTCACTGACTCTTTAACAGTCCATCAAAGTTTAAGATTTGGTTTGTTTTTTCTCCTGCACATTTTAAAATTGCTACTAAAAATGTATTAATTTAGTCTAAAACACAGTCTTCTTGATTGTAATTAATTTGCATAGAAATATTTTCATAAAAACATTAAGATCCTGATTTGTTTTCAAAGGGCCTCAAATGTCCAGCACTACTTCTGGAAGGTCTCACCAGCGACCAGTACAGGATTCTCATGAACAACACAAACTTGTTTTATACTGGCACATCTAAACCAAAGCTGGAAATAGTGTGATAGAATTAACTCACATTGTTGTTTACGAACAGAAATATGGTGATATTTTGTCTTTTTTCTCTCTCTGACTATCCGTTTGCTGATTAAAAGGGACATTTACTAAACTATGTAAGTCTACAGGAACACAGAAATGATGTGAAACGAGAAGACAGCTTGATCTCATGCTGAAGACGGTCTTTAGTACAAGCGTCAGTGGTAGCTTACCATACAGTATGTATGTACTGTATTACAAGGATGATAGGCTGATTTCTGTCAGAATTATTTCATTCTAACTGCTGAAAGGAAGCAAAAAGTCTCTTTAAAAGTCCACTATGGCATTCTCTCAGTCTGGTAAGCTGGTGTTTGCTGTAGTCTCTTTGTGTTTGCATGAGTGTGTGTGGGTGAGACACGTCAGACTAGCGTGCCTGGCGTGGGTCTGTCATTACTTGTCTCTTTAAGTGTCGTCTCCTGCATTTTAGATGAAAGTGTATCTTGGTACAATGAAAGCTCCATCGACCTATAGGGAAGAAGAGAGAAGAGGCGACAAATCAATGAGGTATGATGAACATCTAAGAAAAGGAAATATTTCAAATATAAATTGGGGTCATTAAATATTGTCTTTTTGGGTTTATTCAGCAAGGATGCATTCAATTGATCAAAAATGCTCTTCTTTTGAACTTTCTTGCACAGGAATTAAATTAAATTTAAAAATATATTCAAATATTTAAAACATTTTGAATCTAAAATTTAAATTTATGGGGAATTTAAAATTATAGGGGTGGTGATGGCGCAGTGGATAAGACACATGCCTTTGGTGTGAGAGACCCGGGTTCGAATCCACTGCGAGACACCAATGTGTCCCTGAGCAAGACACTTAACCTCTAGTTGCTCCAGAGGCGTGAGACCTCTGACATATATAGCAATTATAGGTCGCTTTGGATAAAAGTGTCAGCTAAATGAATAATAAAAAAAATTAAATAAATAAAAAATAAAAAAAAAATTTAGTGTAATAATATTTTACCATTTGTCATATTTCTTACCTTGATGAGCATAAACAATTTTACCAACCCTAAACCTTTGAATGGTATCATAATAAATATGAAAATCTGAGTGTTAATTAAAAAAATACTATAATTCATTCAATTAAACTAACTGTTAATTTGTACAGCTTGAAATGTGAAAATGCAGAAAATGGTCATGTGACACTGAAGACTGGAGTGATGCTGCTGAAAATTCAGCTTTGCAAATTACATTCAAAAAAATATCAAAATAGAAAACAGTTATTTTAATTTGTAATAATATTTCACAACATTACTGTTTTTAGTAAATTTTTAATAAAATAAAATGCAGCCTTCACTGTAAAAATGAATATGCTTTATCTAATCAATAAAATTGTGGCAACAGATTACGAGCAATATAATTTATTAAATTGAACAAATTAGACTTGAGTAATAGTTAATCAAATTAACATTCTAATTAATTCTAATTTGTACAATTTAATGAATAATATTGCTTGTAATATGTTGCCACAATTTTATTGATTAGATAAACATATTATTTTTTTCAGTGTTGGTGAGCATAAGAGACTTTTTTGGAAACTGTAAAATATTTAAAATGTTACTTTAACAACTATAATAAAAAATACATTCAAAAACTTAGTGAAAATGCATTAGTAAATGCAGAAAAGAGATAAATTCATGATATATATATATATATATATATTTACCTTTTGGAAAACAAGGGTTTCTTGACTGATGGTTCATGTATCGTATGAATGTAGATTGTAATTCAGTCTGCAATTACCTGCCGTGTAGAGGGTGGCCATGAAACGTGGCCGACTGAGGCATCTGTGGATAGGCTGTGTCCGTTTGAAAGGACTGTGGCTGGTGTTTTAGGGGCGGATGGGGTTGCGAGGTGTGCAGAGAGGACGTGGTACGCCTGCGCTGAGTCTGCGTCCCCTCTTTGCTCTTCCCTCCACTGGCCGCCTGTCCCAGCGCGTTGCGCAGATACCAGTCTCTCAAGCCCTCCAGCGCCAAGGCCTTGTGCAGGCTGCGTGTGGGGTCGTCGGGGGTCGCGGGTGTGGTGGACGACTCGGTTGGGTAGTGTGGTGGTCTGTGGGGGTGGTCTATGTGCTGGTTGTTAACGGCGGTGCCATTGGTTTCAGTGTAGGCAGAGAGAAGGATAGACTCTTGCTGGTGCTGCTGCGAGGGAACGAACGGACCGCAGGATTTGGTGCGTGTCACTTTGACCCTCCGAGGCTCGCCGGGTTTGCCTCTCAGCATTAGCGGGCTGTAGGCCGGAGGGCCCAGGATGAGCTGCTGCGATTGGGGGAAGCCGTTCCTGTAGGGAGGCGGTGGAGCATTGGGACCTTCGGGCCACGGCCGGGTTTTGGCACTATTTTGGACCTGCAGTCTTTGCTGAGCTTGCATCTTCTGCTGTTTTCCCCACACATAATCTATGAGGATCTCATTGTAACCGCCCCCTCCGTTCGTTCCTCGACCTCCCACGGCCGAGCGAACGCGGGCCAGTTCGGTGTGTCCGTTTACCTGCCGTTCGGGGCTGCTCCGCTGCGCCTGTTTTAAAGTTGCGTCCATGATTGCTTCTGAGCTCTTGTATGGGCCGTTTCGAACGTGCATGCCTAACCTTTGACCTCCCTCCTCCGCAGCAGAGGCGTGCCGGTCGAGTAACGTCTCGGAGCTATTGCTTCGCCTGTGCCCTTGCTCGTAGGACCCCTCCTGAGACTGCAGAAGCACCTGCTGGGACGCCTCGGGATTGTCTGACCACTGCTTCACGGCAGCAGTGCCGCTAGATGATTCTGACCTGCGCAAATAAACAACACATTCACTACCATTTAAAAGTTTGGGACCAGTATGATTTTTGTTTTGTTTTTTCCAAGTAAGTGACTAGTAGGGATGGGCGACGATTAATCGCGATTAATCGCATCCAAAATAAAAGTTTGTGTTTACATAATATATGTGTGTGTAGTGTGTATAATTAATTTGTATATATAAATACCCACACATGCATGTATATATTTAAGAAATATTTGCGTGTACATCCTTTATATATATTTATACATAATAAATATTATATATAAAAATAAATATTTGATATATTAATAACACTTTTTTCTTAAATACATACATGCATGCATGTGTGGGTATTTATATATACAAATTAATTATACACACCACACACACATATATTATACAATTATATTATATTATACACACACATAAACACAAACTTTTATTTTTGGATGTGATTAATCGCGATTAATCGCATCCAAAATAAAAGTTTGTGTTTACATAATATATGTGTGTGTAGTGTGTATAATTAATTTGTATATATAAATACACACACATGCATGTATGTATTTAAGAAATATTTGCGTGTACATCCTTTATATATATATTTATACATAATAAATATTATATATAAAAATAAATATTTGATAATATTAATAACACATTTTTCTTAAATACATACATGCATGTGTGGGTATTTATATATACAAATTAATTATACACACCACACACACATATATTATGTAAACACAAACTTTTATTTTGAATGCGATTAATCGTTGCCCATCCCTAAATACCCACACATGCATGTATATATTTAAGAAAAATGTGTTATCAATATATCAAATATTTATATTTATATATAATATTAATTGTGAATAAATATATACATGCACATATTTCTTAAATATATACATGCATGTGTGGGTATTTATATACAGTATACAAATTAATTATACACACCACACACACATATATTATGTAAACACAAACTTTTATTTTGAATGCGATTAATCGCGATTAATCGTTGCCCATCCCTAGTGACTACTTTCAAATTATCAATTTGTTAGTAACCAAACAATTTTATTTCCCACTGACTTCCATAATACGGACAAAAAATACAACGGAAGTCAGTAGAACCGAAAGCAACGCTCTTCAAAATGATCTTTTCTTGAGTTAATAATGACAGAATTTTCATTTTTGTGTGGACTATCCCTTTAAGCTACCCAAGTGTCTCTCTGATGAAATGACAACCACGCAACACATCAGTCTCCAAACATGCTGATATCAGTGTATCTCCCGGCACTGCGGCACAACAAGCTGCTCTGTGTGTGTAATTGGATTGAGTAGGAAATAATGGGGCCTTCGCTCAACCTCCTTAAACATCCATTACTTCATTACACCTTATTGCAAATACGTAATTTAATCAAAATGTTTGTGCCATTATCAATTCAGGGCTTTTTAACTATAATTAGCTATATAGTCAGCATGCAAGCTGATCTGTGCAGTGTTTGTGCATGTGTGTTTTGCACACTTGTTACCTGATGTGCACTCCTGTTATTCCATTGCGGGACAAGAGTGGAGTTGCTGGTACACTTCTACCTTCTAAATTCGACACACTTCTTGGAAGAGTGTGACTCGGGCTGGGGAAAAAAACAAAGTCTAGTTACATCTAGTTAGCAAACTTGATCTATGTTACATAGTGACGAAGACCTATTTATAAAACTGATGATGAAGTCATGTTTCGATTCTAAATTGTAGCTTTATTATTTTATTAGCACTTTATTTTACAATCCTGTTCCACATGTACATAATATGAACTTATTACAGCAATTACAAACCGAATTCCATAAAAGTTTAGACACTGTACAAATTGTGAATAAAAACAGAATGCAATGATGTGGAAGTTTCAAATTTCAATATTATATTTAGAATACCACATAGATGACATATCAAATGTTGAAAGTGAGAAAATGCATAATTTTAAGGGAAAAATAAGTTGATTTTAAATTCCATGGCATCAACACATCTCAAAAAAGTTGGGACAAGGCCATTTTTACCACTGTGTGGCATCCCCTCTTCTTTTAATAACAGTCTGTAAACGTCTGGGGACTGAGGAGACAAGTTGCTCAAGTTTAGGAATAGGAATGTTGTCCCATTCTTGTCTAATAAAGGCTTCTAGCTGCTCAACTGTCTTAGGTCTTCTTTGTTGCATCTTCCTCTTTATGATGCGCCAAATGTTTTCTATGGGTGAAAGATCTGGACTGCAGGCTGGCCATTTCAGTACCCGGATCCTTCTTCTACGCAGCCATGATGTTGTAATTGATGCAGTATGTGGTTTGGCATTGTCTTGTTGGAAAATACAAGGTCTTCCCTGAAAGAGACGATGTCTGGATGGGAGCATATGTTGTTCTAGAACTTCGATATACCTTTCAGCATTGATGGTGCCTTTCCAGATGTGTAAGCTGCCCATGCCACACGAACTCATGCAACCCCATACCATCAGAGATGCAGGCTTCTGAACTGAGCGCTGATAACAACTTGGGTTGTCCTTGTCCTCTTTAGTCCGGATGACATGGCGTCCCAGTTTTCCAAAAAGAACTTCAAATTTTGATTCGTCTGACCACAGAACAGTTTTCCACTTTGCTAGAGTCCACTTTAAATGAGCCTTGGCCCAGAGAAAACGCCTGCGCTTCTGGTTCCCGTTTAGATATGGCTTCTTTTTTGACCTACAGAGCTTTAGCCGGCAACGGTGAATGGCACGGTGGATTGTGTTCACTGATAATGTTTTCTGGAAGTATTCTTGAGCCCATGTTGTGATTTCCATTACAGTAGCATTCCTGTGTGTGATGCAGTGCCGTCTAAGGGCCCGAAGATCACGGGCATTCAGTATGGTTTTCTGGCCTTGACCCTTACGCACAGAGATTGTTCCAGATTCTCTGAATCTTTGGATGATATTATGCGCTGTTGATGATGATAACTTCAAACTCTTTGCAATTTTTCTCTGAGAAACTCCTTTCTGATATTGCTCCACTATTTTTTGCCTCAGCATTGGGGGAATTGGTGATCCTCTGCCCATCTTGACTTCTGAGAGACACTGCCACTCTGAGAGGCTCTTTTTATACCCAATCATGTTGCCAATTGACCTAATAAGTTGCAAATTGGTCCTCCAGCTATTCCTTATATGTACATTTAACTTTTCTGGCCTCTTATTGCTACCTGTCCCAACTTTTTTGGAATTTGTAGCTCTCATGAAATCCAAAAGGAGCCAATATTTGGCATGGCAATTCAAAATGTCTCACTTTCAACATTTTATATGTCATTTATATTCTATTGTGAATCAAATATAAGTTTATGAGATTTCTAAATTATTCCATTCTTTTTTTACTCACAATTTGTACAGTGTCCCAACTTTTTTGGAATCGGGTTTGTACAATAACTGGGTAATAATAACTATACTCTAAAAATAGAGCCAGACCGATTCATCCGCAAGCCGATATTAGACATTTTCCAAACTATCGGTATCGGCAGTTATAATGCCCGATAAACGAATATTTCAAAAATAAAAACGGACGAAACACGCTTCAACCATGTCATGAGTGTTGGAGTTGTATAGTTTGTCCACCAGAGGGCACTCTACACCGTTCCTGTTGGCAACACTCGTGTATAACGCGCCTTTTGAGGACTGAACATTTAGACATGGAGAAAAAGTATCAAACGTATCTTGTGCATAAAAGTTCGCTTTTCTTTTACACGTGTGTGAAATCCAACGACGCCAAGTGCGCATTGCAGACTGTCGTTCAGCCGCAGCATTAACAAGTCAAGCGTACATTGTAATGATAAGGTAGCTTATAAGGCAATGTAGGGAATGATTATTATTTTATTTATCAGAACTTTAATATATTTTGATGTTCCTTAGTTCTGTTGTGACAATAAAAGAAACAAGTTTCTTTTTAATATTTTAGTTAAAACTCATAAATAACTAATTTTAGGGAAATCAGTTAATGTTTTGTTGCACGTTTCTGAAATAAAAATAAAAAATATTGTGTGTAATAGCCGATATTTTGACTATACTTCGGATATATATCGGATCTTAAAACCAACAAATATTTGTATCGGTATCGGCCTTCAAAATCCATTATCGGTCGGGCTCTACTAAAAAATGCTGGGTTATTTCAACCCAAATTTGGGTCTAATATTGACAAACCCAGTAATTGGGTTAATATTACATTTAAATTACATTTTTAACCCAATGTTTGGGTATGTCCATATTTGAGCCCAAATTGAGTTAAAACAACCCAGTGACTAACCCTACACCTAAACCCCTTTAGTTACCTTTTACCCAGTATTTGTTTAGGTAAGTACACTACATGTACATGTACAGTAAGTACACATACTATATAATAAAGTGCAACCATTTACTTTTATTAAAATTTTGATTTTAAGATTTTTGCAAAAATATCCATGAGTAGCAAAAAGCCTTTGTTCTAGATTCGAATCAGCTATAAATTACAAATCACATACATTTTTCCCATCTAAATGAGGTGCTTCCAGATCAGTGTATCAATGCTGATTCACCTCTGGATCTACATTAAGTGGAAAAAACAGCTGTTCTACTTTCTCATGCTGAGCACGAAAGCAAAATGTGCTAAGCGAGTACCTGGCTGAGCTGGCCACAGAGTTGCGGCGAGTTTTTATCTCGTAATAGATCTCCACGGGGGAGAGTTTTCGAGAAAACCTGTTGTCTGGACTCCCCGAGACCAGCCGGGGACATGAGGGTGACGGGCCGTCAGAGGCGTCTTCTGAAGGAGAGAGAGAGAGAGAGAGACTTGAGAGGTTGAGACAGAAGCCAACTTTCTAATTCAAAGTAATACACTACTAAAACATACTATCTACTTCTGAAAGAGTCTTTTTTTTTACTTTACAAATTGCAGACATGGCCGATTCGCATGGGATTAAGATCACAGACAAACTCCGCAATTATTACAAATTACTATAGGTCACCAGATAATACTAATCCCGTGCGAATAGGGCTTAAATTAAATTTTTTTTATCTTAAAGCTACACTGTGTGATTTTTACCCCCATCTAGTGGTGAAAAGGTATATTCCGGTTCCATTTTAACTCCTACGGTGGCCAATGTAGTCCAAGATTAACATAGCTTCCAGTTCGACCTCGTCCATGAGTGTTAACTCAAACGTAAACGCGGAAGGTGAAGCTTGAATTAACGGGTATGTCCCTCTTTGGCTAATGTACTTTCAAGATGGAGGGGCAACATGGCGACCGACATTAGAACCCCTTACCCGTATGTATTTTCAATGGCATATTATACAGTCCCTCCAGAAAAACGCGATTATGCGATCGCTGAATTCAATGCAAAATCAACCAAGGTCCGCATATTTATGCGGGGGCCGCATTTTTTCAAATACGCCGCACTTTCGCCGCATAAATTGCCGATTTCCGTACAAAATATGCGGGGTTTGCATAATTTCATAATCCTCGCATTTTCGTTGCAAAAAAAGTCACATGTATCTTAGCAGAAAGTTGAAAAATGTTGCGTTTGCTTCACACAAGAGCAGCCATTTCCCCCTGTTTCCATGGGAACGTTATGAAGTGACGCAATTATGCTACGCCAGACAGACTCACGGGACCCTCACGGAGGCGATTGACATCTCACAAATCGAACTCGTAACTGTCTGTCACACGTTCTACCGTCACATCGTTACTTAATAAACAACATAATATAAAAGAAGTAGCATCAAACAGAAATTACCCGCACACATAACACTGCAGAGAGTTCAACAGGGAGCGCGCAGCTCTTAAAGGGGCCACACCTTATTTACACTCGTTACAGTCTGAAATAAAACAAGATGAGTTCCCAGCACTTTCTATGATGTAGTATGCTTGCTTATCAAAGGAAGTAATAAGAAATGACTCTTACATTAGCCTAGTGAGAACAGGATGTTGGGGGAATCACTTTTTTTCTCTTTTTCATCAAACCGCAATTTTTGCAAGTTCCCTCAATTTTTGCAAATTCCTGCAATTTCATCGCATAAAATTGCATAAATATCCCGCATATTCCATCGCATTTTTAAAGAAAACGGGCCACGTAATCAATCAATTTTTGCCCGCAACAATCACAAAAAAAACTCCGCGTTTTTCTGGAAGGACTGAATATGGTAAATGTTATATATAAATCGCAAATTTTTTCACAAATTTTTGGAAATTACCACCACAAAATCAGTCATTTTGATCGCAAAAATCACAAAAAAAAAATCGTGAAATCCTGGTGGGACTGATTATACACTCACGAGAATACTTTATTACTTGAACGAAGCAAATATACATTAATGAGCACATATATTTTTGAAAGAACTAAGTGTTTTTAGCTAAGAATAAACTAAAAGAGTTACACGGTGTAGCGTTAAGTGTGTCTAAATAATTTTTGGGACCATACAGTGCGAATAAAGGAGGGTTGTTATGTATCGATTACAGCAAAATTCATATCTGAATATGACTCACTACAGTATATTAACTAATTTGTTTAGTCTTTATTACTATTATTGACAACTTTTTCATGTAATTTATTTATTTATTTGTACTGATGCTTTGACAATATTGTATATAAATAATTTAATCACATTTCTTAATCGAAATTGAAAACTGAGAGAGAGAAAGAGAGAGAGAGAGAGAGAGAATGTGTGAGAATCAAAAATGCCACAGGGAGAAGATTGGTTCAGTGATGTGTTAATAACAGGCTTTTTGACTCATTGATGTGAAGACTCTAATGACCCCTGCGGGACTCTTCATCCACTAAACTCATCCTGCCATTGTAATAGTGCTTCTTATCTCTCGCATTCATTATCCTGCTAATGTAAAGCTCTGATCCGTGCCATAACTCACCGGTGTCCTGATTGGTGGAATCTGACGTGGAGCTGCTCTCTGACTTCAGCGCGTTATCTGAGGATATAAACATTCACACATTACATGAAGTCACATGAACACACTGTATTGGCTCTATGCGGCTGATAATGGATGTAATATTGTCTAATGGTCATTTCATGGTCACAAGAAGAAAAAAAAAGTCAGCTAAATCTGACAAATCCTTTCTTCAAGATGTCCTCAAAGCTAAAAATGTTGATAAAATAATATTTTTCAAAAGAATAGATTTATAAAATTGCGGAGAACTTGCATTTTTAACTATTTATTATTTAAAGAGGTTTGACTCTAATGTGATCGTTATATGTAAAAGACAAAGATTCAATTGTTGCAATAAACAAACACCGAATTAAAATAATTGTTTACTTTAAAAATGCAAAAAGATTTTGGGGAGGTATGGTTAAGGGTAGTCAATAGTTAATAGTTTCATATGAAAACAATATGTGTGTTTGGCTTCATTCAGAAAGCTAGATAAATGTGTGTTTGGTCATTTCTTTACTGAACTTTCATCATCATTTTAGTAATAATGGCCGGAAACAGGCCGGTTAATCGACACTTCCTGTTGCACAACGTCTTGTGTATCTCATTTAAGGTGGACTGTTTTCCATGTTTGCACACGAGAGACAAATTTTTTGCTTCTAAATTTATACCACATACATAATCAAACTGTTCCCACGGTCCAAAGCCAGACCATCACCAGTCTGACACTAAACTGGTCTGATCCGTTGTAAACCACTCTTCGTCCTGTCTCTCACAAGCCAAGTCTGATCGGGAAATTTACCAAATTTACATGAGTTAAGCACCATATGTCAGAATAATTGAAGAGTTCAGATGCAAAAGCCTCTAAGTGCCATTTGAAATTTTCTTCTAGAATGATCATTTTTATCAAGCTTGTATATTTAAGTTCAGTGATTTCACTTAAATGGCAATGATAATTACCTATTAATTGTTATTTAAGTGAAATTACTGAACTTAAATATACAAGTTTGATAAAAATCATCATTAAAGAAGAAAATTTCAAATGGCATTTAGAGGCTTTTGCATCTGAACTCTTCAATTATTAATATGATTATTTTTAACCTTTATGATGAAACTGATCTGAGTCTTTAGTTTGATCTGTTATCTCAGCACAGTTCAATCAGTCATTAGCTCAGTCTAAACTATAATCATTACTAATCATTCCTGTATGTCAGTTCTATCACAGCTGGTTTGCTCTGTTTGATCATGGACCGAACAGAGACAAACATTATCGATTTGTCAATTAGTTGAGCAGCTAGTATAAAGAATCAATTTGTATGTGTTTACAGGGTTTAATGGACAAAAAATTATCATGACATGCTATAGTTTAGTTAAAAAAAAATAAAAACATTTTTCATTATATATACAGTCACCTCAAAGAAAGTATTTGGATACTTCGTTTTAATTAATTACATTGTTTAAATGTGGTTTAAATGTCTAGATCATTGTAGGCAAAGTTTGGGATCAAAACTGACAGTAAAGACATTTATAATATTACAAAAATATTTCAAATGAATGCTGTTTTTTGTAAATTTCTGTTAAAAAAAAATTATGGTTTCGAAAAAAAATATTAAGCAGCACAACTGTTTTCAACATTGATAATAATCAGAAATGTCCAGAATGATTTCTAAAGGATCGTGTAACTGGAAAATTCAGCTTTGCTTTACAGTATATTATATATACTACAATATATTATAATAGAAAACACTTATTTTAATTTGTAATGATATTTCACAATATTATTGTTTTTACTATATTTTTGATTACATAAATGCAACCTTAGTGAGCAGAAGAAACATTAAAACATCTTTCTGTATATACACGAGTAAAAAATACAACATTTCAGGCATGAAATGGTGTTTATTTCCTCTGAATACCGCACCTGTATGGCATCCTCTGTGAACGGTTCGTTTGCTGTGTGAAGGATGCTGCTCTGAATCGACGTGCCTGCGGAGGGCGCCGCTGAACAGAGTTTTCTTTGTCTTGCGCTGAGAGGCGTCCTCGTCCTAAACCAGCACAAACATTTAGACACTTTTTGATGTTTATCCATCACGTATCCAATATCACATAAGTGGCCACCCATATCATCTCAAATCCACAAACCTCATTTTTGGTGTTTTGTTTGGAACTGCTGCGGGGCAGACCAGCCCTGCGCCGCACATGAGGGACTTTCTCTCCGGTTTCCAGAGGATATTCATGAGGAACTTCACCTGTCATTTCCTACAAAATGCATGATGAGCAAACATGAACAAGAAGACTTAAACTGTTTCATTATTAATTTTTAGTTTTTCAAAAATTGAAGAATGATTGGAACTTTGGCACCATTGACTTCCATAGTATTTGTTTCTTTTCTACTATGGAAGTCAATGGTGCCAAACAACTGTTTTGTTCCAATCGTTCTTCAAGATATCTTCCTTTGTGTTCATCAGAAGAAAGAAACTCATACAGGTTTGCAACAACTTGAGAGTAAGTAAATGATGACAGAATTTTCATTTTTGGGTGGAGTATCCCTTTAATTACATTCAAACTTGAACGTCAATTCTGCATCTTGTTGGTTCCCTCAAATCAAATTAAATTCAGGAATGTAATTGGACTTTAATGTGTGGCTGATGAGACACTGACCGCCTCCTGCAGACACACACGTTTGAGTTCTGCTAATCGAGTGTTGAGCAGCGACTGCAGACTTCTCCTCCGCTCCTGTAGCTCCACCATCCGCTCCGCATGCTGCTTACTGTCCTGCAGCTCTGCAAACACACACACACACACACACATCAAGTTAACTCAGATTGAGTCTTTTTTATTGTTTTACACCAGCGTTTGAAAGTTTGGGGTGGGAATGATTTTTATGTTTTTGAAAGAAGTCTTTTTTGCTCACCAAAGCTGCATTTATTTGATCAAAAATACAGTAAAACTGTAATATTGTGAAATATCATTAAAATTATAAAGAACCTTCTATAATATTGAAATAATATTTATTATATATATATATATATATATATATATATATATATATAATATTTTGAAATGTATTTTTTTATTTTTTTCAGGATTCTTTGATGACCAGAAAGTTCAAAAGAACAACATTTTGATGTAAATGATGTAAATTTGATGTAAATGTATTTACAGTCACTTTTGATCAATTTAATGCATCCTTGTTGAATAAAAGTATTAATTTATTTTTTTTTAATTGGTGTAAAGGTTATTTTTAAAACTATATTTGAAATTATATATATATACAGTATATATATATATACACACACACACACATATATATACACATATATACACACACACACATATATATATATATATATATATATATATATGTTCCTAAATTTTTCCCTAGTTAGGAAATTCTTGATTTTTTTTTTAAATGTAATTTCATAGGCAAGAATAGTAATATTTTTTTTTAACACTACATAGTTCAAGTAGTTCTTAAATCTTAAATAGTTTAAATCCTAATCAGTTATCAAGAATAACTGGGAAAGACATTGAAAAGCACTGGTCAAAAAGTGTGATTAAGGGTTACTGGTAACCTGTGCACCATTAACCTTCCCAAATTGGCCACTTTTGTCCTTTTTTACTTGTTAAATAAGATTTAAAGGTGAAGCATGTCATTTCTTGGCACAAAACATTAACGGTAATAAGATTTAGACTCATTATGAAGATCAGCTCTTTGTGAGGATATTTGGTTGCCACAATAACAGACAAAAACAAAACACACACACACACACCCGTCAGACAAACAACTTACAAAGTAAAATTCTTAGAAAGACAGCAAACAAACACACTCAGGCACATGGAGGCACTCACCAGGGCCTGTTATCAGGTGACTTTTGACCTCCATGTCATACGTCTTTTGCATCACCTCACTGCCTCCTGATTGTTAGTTTACCTACAGAGAGACAAGAAAACAAACCACACATTACAATGGCAGAAGACTTAGCTGGATTCTACTCGAATCAGACAAGCGTGTAAATAGCTCGCACGTTTCTTACCTTCTCACGGAGATTGGGACTTGTGGCCATGAAGCAGAAGCTGCTGGGTGTTGCTGCAGTACTGAGACCGGCCTGAGGGGGGAGCCACTGCGCTAACGCACGACGCTTCACGAACTTTATGCCCTGAAACACAAAACAAACCATATGAGACACTGGAGACGCCCCACACATAAGAGCTCTCTGAGCCCGACTGAGAGACGGCTTTGAAGACAGACTATCAGATCAATCGCTTATATAACAGGCGAGGTTTAGCAGATGTGCCTGAAATGGATAGCAACTCAGATATGAGTATCTTTCACATGAGAACAATCGGAGAAAGAGTCTCTCAAACAACGAGAAACAATTGAGATATTAAAGAGATTTTCAAGGTTTATTAGCTGTCTATAATAAGCCTGCCATTGTATATTATTATGAATATTGTTGGCTTTTTGGTGAATTGCTTTTTCCACTTTGGATAAAAGCGTCTGCTAATACATAAATATTAATCATTGGAGGGAAACCTAAGATTTTATAGCTTTCTCTGGTGCACAAACGAAAAGATATGAGATGTTTTTAGAGCTTTTAGTACATTGTTGTTGTTGTTAACTAAAACTAACCTACTATTAAAAATCATTTTCATTAATTGAAATACATAGCAGTGTTATTTTAGTAGTATTCAAATCTTTTATAGTATTTTTTATTTTGAATTAATACAATTATTTATTTAGAATAAATACACATTTATTTATATTTATGTTAACAAAATAAATTATATATTTTAGAGAAATGTATAAACTTAAAAACTAGAAATGGCAACTTAAAATAAAATAAGCTAAACAAAAAGTACAATTAAATTAAATAAAAATAAAAATAATAAAATGACAAAAGCATTAGCAAAATTACAAAAAAAATTTTTTATCATAAATAAATAAAGTTAATTCAAGATATTAATAAATACTATACTATAAAATTATACAAAAAACACTCCTTCAATAGTACAAATTAGGTCAATTTGAGATTTTATATTTTTTTATTTGCACTTTCAGGATGGTTTAGTTGGTCCAAGTCACATTCACATCTGATTTTTCCCCCCTTCAAATTCACATGGAATTGCCTGTGGGAACTCCGGACAGGAAGTGGACTGTGGTGTACAGGAAGTGGCTCGTGAGCCAGGAAACCCGTGCGGGAAACAGAAATGGGAGGCTCAGACTAACCTATAAAAACAATACGGGCAGAAATCCTCACGCACAAAAACACTCTCAACAGGGCAAGAGTCATTTCCTAGGATCAGCCGTAAACAAGGAGCACAATGAGGAGAAAGGTCGAAAAAACCTCAAAAACTGCATCTCACGCCGTGTCCTGTCGGCAACCTAAATAAACGTCAAGAAACCCAAATGTTTTCGGCTTTAACGCCCAGTGGTGATCTATTCTTCACAATGCAGTTTTTCAAGCACAACCATCAGGAAGTAGTTATTATCTCGGCTGCAGGAGATGGGCGGCTCTGTCATTGAGAGCGCATGAATGATGGGTGTCTCTGAAAAATGTAAAAGGTTATAATTATAAAGACGGATCAATAGAGTCAGAAATAACTTGGAGAAAATGGTAGCAGATGAGTGAAGCACACGTCGTAATTAAAAAAAACAATAGAACAGTGCAGTTATTGTGTGTCGTCATGACCTAATCGTGCCCGTCACACACACTCGAGGGTCAAGGGAGGACAAATAAAAGCGAGAGGGCCGATAAACGTAACACAAATATGTGCATGTTGCTAGAGCAAACACAACGTCTTTGCCTGTCTCGGTTTGCCTAGTGTTGGGTTTCAGCTAATGGAGTCACGCTGTTGATAAGATCCCTGATCCTGCTGGTGCCCTGCATTGAGGAGATGTTGAACGACTCGAGTCTTCCAGCAACGTTTGCCAGCTTTCACTGTAGCGCTCACCTAATGGCCAAATGTTTTGATGAAACCTTTTTCACAATATTTGTCCATTCCAAGTTATTTCTCATAACAGCAGCATATGTTGATCTCATTTCCCTATTGAAAGAGGCCATGTTTTTAAAGTCTACATTTTGATTTTGGGCTCTGGTAAAAAAAAAAATTTGTTTTGAATGTTCAAAAACTCATATTTTTTCCCATATTCTCCATTGTTGCAGCACCTCATTTCCCAGTCTGTCAGTAATAGTATGATTAGTTCCTGTCTTATGAAGTCCCTCCTTCCGAAAAACACAATCTGCTCTGATTGGTCGGCTGGACCAGTGTAGTGTGATTGGTCCACCGCTTTGAGCGCATTTCAGAAATGTCACGCCACTTACTTTTAGTTTCAACACACTTTCTGACGCAACTTAACTAGGCCTCGATCCTTTTATTTTGTGTATGCCTTGAGCGGGAACTATTTACTTGAGGAATATTGTGACGTGTTCGTTCCCGGAAGAAAACTCAAAACTCTTTAATATCTCATAAACATTACCAGATTTATGAGATGTTAAAGAGATCTCCAAAAGTCCATTCGTCAATGAGAATCAAATGAGATATTAAAGAGATTTCCAAAAGTCATATGTAGAGTGTTAAAGGGACATCTCTGGAAAGATGAATGTGTATTTAAAATGGGTCATTTATGTTGAAGAAATGTTTAATTATTTTTGAATTTGGAGCTTTCTAGACTGAGAAGACAGAAAATGTATTTTTGGCTTATGTGGATGAAAGACAACAACTCCCAGAATGCACTTGCTTCGCTGCCCTAGGAGGCCACGCCTACCGGTAACAGAGCGCAGTAGTTAAACAACAAGTCTAGGCTAATAGTGAGTCTCCGTGATGAATCTGCCCGAACATGTGTTTCCAGATCGTCCAAAATGTCTGGGATTCGGCATTTGTGTTCTACAGTCGCCATTCATTATGTTCACTGTGGCGAGCGGGACGAGGCGTAACACTACATTCAGATTCACCAATCGGAATGAATTCAGTTAGATTGAAACAAAAAGTGTGCATGTAAACAATGAATGGCGACTGCAGAAAGCAAAAGCTGAATCCAAGACATCGAAGTGCCAGACATGTCCAGAGAAAAGAGGATGGTAGCCCCTACTACTCAGCTTTCTCCACAGAACAAGAGCCTGCTAGCTTAGCTTCCAAAAAAAGATGGCCGACACTATGTGTTCATTCTGTGAGTGAGATCCTCCCTCAATGGGTGTGTTGAGAACATACGGGACAGACCCTACTATTTAGCCTCTGGCCAAAGAAATCCTCTGATGATGCAAAGTAATGATTTTCCAGACAAAAAATACATAAATCTCTCATCTCAGAGGGATATGAGGGTGGAAAGCATGATAATTCGAAAATACTACTAATACAAAGCTTAATGCTAAATCCTGAAGTATCCCTTTAAGGGCACCCTACCAACCCACCAAACACCCTTGAATCCGTCTTGCATCATAGCAAGACAACCAAACACCACTCACATTGTCTTTTAAAAATATAACAATCTAGGATAAATTCAGATTTTGCAAACCAGCATTCATTTAGGGACTATAAATATGCACTAGACAAGCTGTGCATGTGTTTGTGTGCAAGTGTGTGATTCACCAAATGTCATGACAAATGTTCTGCGGTCCTCGCAAGGTTTGCCAGCATTCCACTCTCTCATGTCGGAGCCTGTATTATCACTTCTGTTCAGATGTTCATGAAAGCACAATCTGTCCATTTTTTAGCCTTCCCGCATTCATTCCTCTAACCATCTCTCTTTTTTTCCTCTGTAAACGTGTTGCCTTATCCTTAACATGTAAAGGGACCATATTGTATGATTTTTAGGCACTTGATAGCATTTTTTCCTCAGAAGATTTTCCCCAAATTTATATCTTTAATTCTATCTCATATGTATACACACACACACACATATATAAATTACCAGTCAAAAAGTGTAGAAGACATTTTTAAAGTTTAGAAAGAAGTCTCATATGCTCACCAAGACAGCATTTATTTGATCAACAATATAGTAATGTATTTTTAAAAATAATTATTTACTTATTTCACTATTTATTTATGTGATAAACATGTGAGCGTATACAGTCATGTGAAAAAGAAAGTATACTCTTTGAATTTTTGGTTTTACGTATTTGTCGTATTAGAGATATTACGTAAAAAATCTGGTCCATAGCAGGTCTTAAAATTAGCTAAATACAGCCTCAGATGAACAACAACACATGACATATTACACTGTCATTATTTATTTAACAAAAATAAAGACAAAATGGAGACGCCATGGGTGACAAACGGAGTACACCCTGATTTAATTGCTCGTAGAAACACCTTTAGCAATCGTTTTCTATTTGACTTCATCAGTCGCTCACATCATTGTGGAGGAATTTTGGCCTGTTCTTCTTGTTTATCGAGGTTTGAGAACATTTGTTTATGCACAGCTGTTAACAGTCTTGTCTTTAATTGGGTCAGTACAATCTTGATTCGTTTCTTTTTCAGCCATTCTGGTGTAGATTTGCTGGTGTTCTTTTTTGGGATCATCATTGGGTTGGGTCTTTGGGATAGCATGCTCCAATTTCGGACAAGCTTTAGCTGTCGGACATATGGCCTCATATGACTCTAGAGTACTTTAGTATACAGAGGAGTTCATGAGATCCCTTGGTCCTGTAGCTGCAAAACAATCCCAAAACATCCATCCCCCCTCCATCAGCGTGATGGACAGCTATGAGGTCTTTGTGCTGATATGATGTGTTTGGTTTTTTGTCCATTATGGCCAAATATCTCCACTTTGGTCTCGTCTGTCCAAAAGACATCGTTCCGAAAGTCTTGCAGTTTGCACGTTTGGAGGCTTTCTCCTGACAGCCCTTCTAAACAAGCCATACTTGATCAGTTATTGAACTGCCATTGACTTTAACATTTAGGGCCTGTAGAGTCTCAGATGTACTTCTTGTTTTGCAGTTTCTCTGAGCAGTGCACAGTCTGACCTTGGGGACGTCCACTCCTGGGAAGACTGGCGACTGTCTTGAATGTTTTCCACTTGTGAATAATCTTCTCTACTGTAGAATAATTGAATAATGTAGAATAACTTCAGAATGTTTGCAAATGGCCTTAACCTTACCAGATTGATGGCAGCAACAATTGCTTCTCTAAGATCATTGCTGACGTCTTCCCTCCTTGGCATTGTGTTAACACACATCTGAATGATTAGCAGCACCTGTCTGCTACATAATTGCTAAAAAGAAAGGGTGTAGGCTACTTAGTTTGTCACACATGACTTCTCAATTTTGGCCTAGTTTTTGCTAAATAAATAATGACACACTGTAGTATATCATGTGTTGTTGTTCATCTGAGGTTGTTTTACCTTGAAGACCTGCTATGGACCAGATGATTTTTTTTTTATGTCCTGATTTAAAGAGGGTGTACTACTTTCTTTTTCACTTGACTATCTATCCATCCATCCATCCATCCATCCATCCATCCATCCATCCATCCATCCATCCATCTATATATGTTAATGAATAATGGTTGTGCCATGATAAGCTGTAACAGACATCATTCTTTCGACTTCCCCCTCTTTTTCCTTTGTCTCTCATCCTTACAATCATGACCTTGATGTTTCACATAACATCAACAATTTCAAACTGAAACAGAATGGCAATTTTTTTCTCAGGACTGCAGAATTGTCTCCTCTGGGAACACAGTCTACTGAATCTTTCCTTCTTGCAGAAAGCGCTGAAGTTGGTGGTCAGCAGGTTTTTTTGCTCCCTGGACTCTCTGCGACCTCTCTGATCTCATCTGACAGACGCGTTCTCTACTGTTCCGTGCCTTCGTTAATTAATCTCACGCTAACGAGGAAGTGTGGACACCGCTGCGTTTCCACATCACCGGACAGCACCGAAACCCTCTTGCTTTCTTCACTGCAAAACTAAATGTGGACAACTCGAAAGACAACTACACTCAGTCAAAACAGGTTTTTCTAAACCAGAAAATCATAGAAACTTGGGGATTGGCTCTTTTAGGCCATTGATCAACTACCCAGGAACCACTCAGAAAGCCCTAGCAACATGCTAAAAAAAAAGACTCCAAACTCCCTAGCAACCCCTGGCTACAAACTACAACACCCTAATATGGTGGAAGTGAGATTTGCATGGACAAACATCACTCAAATGTTCTGCAAAAAAACATAAAGATTCATTTATATTTATCTACATCTTAAAATGTCATTTTCTACATGTAGAATTAAAGAAAGTGAGAGCACCAAAATCTGGCAGTCCTAACTTATTCAGATAATGGTGCTAAACAGATGCATGTGTGGCTTTGCTCTTCCACATGAAGGTCAATGGGGACCAAATGGCATCAGCTGAAGTATCTGCATGTCCTGACACCTTAAGAGTAAAGGTCTAAATGGTGTCTATTGCTCATCAAGACATAGCTCTGACCAAAATAAAAACAAACCAACAAAAGAGAACGGACTAACACATTCCTAGACATTTAGAGGTTTCCACCGCAGACAGTATTTCCCAAGATCCAAAATTATCAACATTTCTCTTTTGAGTAAGACAGAGTTGGTTTGGTAAACCAACCAAGTATGTTATTTTTGTTCAAGCAACATGCAACTTAATGGTGAAGTATGTTGTTTTTACATCTCTAGTGGCACCAAATGGAACTGCACACATAATGATTGTTTTAAATATATATAACTAATTATAATTTAAAAAGACATATATTTAATAATTTTTTTGACTTCCTTTTTTGTCAAGACAAACTTTAAGTTGGCTTGTGAAAGTTTGGACCAGAAAGTTTGATGAAAGTTTAAATTAGTTTGAATTTTAAAGTAGTTTGAAGTTTAAATTAGTTTAAAGTAGCTTAAATTTTAAAAGTATAGTTTGAAGTAATTCAAAGTTGCTACAGTGTTTCTAGTGGGTTGCTAAGGTGTTTTAGGTGTTTCTAGGTGGTTGCTATGCGGTTATTAAAGTTTTTGGGTGGTTGCTAAGGTATTTTGCTTGGTTGCTAGGCGGTTGCTAAGGTATGATGGGTGGTTGCTAGGGTGTTCTGATTAGTTGTTAGGCGGTTGCTAGGGTGTTATAAGGTATTTTGGGTGGATGCTAGGATGTTCTGGGTGGTTGTTAGGGTGTTCTAATGTATTTTTGGTGGTTGCTAGGCGGTTGCTAAGGTATTTTGGGTGGTTGCTCAGGTGTTCTAATGTATTTTGGATGGTTGCGATGGTGTTCTAAGGTGTTTTGGGTGGTTGCTAGGCTGTTCTGGGTGGTTGCTAAGGTGTTCTAATGTATTTTGGTCGGTTGCTATGGTGTTGCTAGGGTGTTCTAAGGTATTTTGGGCGGTATTTTAAAACTCATATTTTATATCTATATAGTCATTTGAAGTCAAAAATGTATAAAACATTTTTTTAATTATCATGTTATGTATTAACATAACTTCAGCTATAAGCAGTACAAAACCAATCAAATTCCAGTTAGCTCTCTACTGATTTGATCTGTTGTATAAATCATCACTGTAGAATCATTTTTTCTCTTTGGTTTTATATTCCAGGACATGTGGTATGTATGCAGTAAACTGTTGCCACTTTGGCCTGACCGCATGTTTCTATGTTTAATTGCCAGCAAGTCTCTCCAAGACCAAATTCACAGCGCTAGTAGTGACCACATTTTGCCTTGAGAGCCTTGGAGTTTCCTCCATAATACACACGAAAGTGCAGTGAAAAGAAAGCAAACCAACTTCCGAATCCCATGAGGCTTGTGGTCATTTGTCTCAGTTTTCCTCAAGCATGAATCAGGTCTTGGCCTTTATGTGCAGGTCAGGTGATGCCAGTGAACCTTCCGGTCATGCTGAACCTTTGGCCCAGTTTATAAAGGAAACATGGGCCGTTGAACGTTTACTGAGCGTTTACATCACGCACCATGCGGCTACATCTGCTGAGCTTCCTGGTCATGTACAACTCAGCCAGTCAGAGGGCTCTCCCAGGGGTCTCCAAAGGAAACAGTTGGTTCACACCTTGATGCTCTTTGCTTCTCACCACACCAGCACCTTGATGAGATCCCATATCCTTCTCTTCCTCACCACTCTGAAAAATCTGTTGTGCCTCCACCCCCATCCGTCTCCTCTCAGCAGGCGGAGCAAAGGCCACATTTCCTCTGACTGGCAGCAACAACAGCTCCGGCTGAGCGGAGTCAGGACGGCTGCAGACAGCAGATGGACTCAACATATGAACCAGCACCCCCCATTTCACAATCTCCATCAGAACCTAAAGCAAAGATCACGCATTACAAAACAGGAATGTTGGTGGAGTGATAGAAGCTGACAATATTTTGAGACATTTCACGGGTCAATTCTTCTGCAGCCGGGCATTGCAATAGTCCTCTTGGATGGCGATTTCATAATGAAGATTATACATACATTTTGGGACACGTTCAAGACATTTATCCCCTTGACGCCTGAATTCATTTACAATTAAATAAAAAAAAAACAGGCATTGGGGGAATCTCGCCTGCAGACTGAATGGAAGAGGTTTGATGCAAATTCGCGACAGTCGGCGTTAAGGGGTTAAAATGTACCAAAAGATTTCTATGTCAAGTAAAAGCTGTTCTTTTGAACTTTCTATGCATCAAAGAATCCTAAAAATAATTATTTCAGTTTCCACAATAATATTAATCACAATTTTGATTTTTTTTTTCCTGTGGTGCAAAATTTCCAGCAGTCTTCCTCAGATGATCCTTCAGAAATCATTCTAATATGCTGATTTTTTAACTATACAAATGTCGACTACAATTCAGATTTTCCGTCAGTGTTTTCTCCCTATTTACGATTCTTTGCAGCCTTTAGCCGCTGCCTACGAAGCACTGTATCCTTCGCTGGAAACCGAAAATAAAATAAAAAGCTACTCAAATGCCTTGATTTAACTAAGGCCTGACCTCTGTGAATCCAGGCCTTTGAATTCTTGCACATGGGAACAATGTAAAAGTTTTCCAAGAAGTATTTCCTACTAAAGCAAGGCAGTATTTTGGCGCTTTTTCACACAGTACCAGCTCGACTCGGCTCGCCTTTGTTTGGTTTTCCACTGTGTAAAAGTTGTACCTGTACCCGTTTTCGGGTATTTTTTTTTTTTTGTATCACCTCCGGCGAGGTTCTGCGCGAGCTAAGGCGATACTAAAATGTGACATAAAAACAATGCCGACTGCTGATTGGTCAGAGAGAATCGTCACCATTCAGTGCGTCATCATTGCGCGCGCCAGATGGAGTATCCAGAAAATCCCCGCCATTTTTAAATAGCTTGGCCAGAGATAATTACTAAATTTACTACTGTTATTATGGCAACTCGGAAGAATACGCCGTGGTCAAACGAGGAGGTGCAGACTTTCGTTTGATTGGTTGCCGAAGAGAGGATCCAGCGAGAGCTTGATGGGGCAACGAGGAATGAAAGGCGTCGTGTTGCTATGACAACAGGGTACTATTAATGGCGGTACTGTCTGCAATGGAAAAGGGTGCAAAAAGCGAGCCGAGGCGAGTTGAGTCGAGCTGGTACTGGTAATGGAAAAGCGCCATTAGACTCTGGTAAGTGTATTAGAGCCCGACCGATAAAGGATTTTGAAGGCCGATACCAATACATAGTGTTGTCAAAAAACTCGGTACTTCGGTACCAAGTCGGTACTAAAAAAAAAAAAATGTTACGGTACCAGCTTTTCTAGGTACCGAATACCAGGTTAATCCAGTTCTAGACGCGCTGTCTGAAAGGTCCTCTTCGTAACGCTGATATGGCTGTCTCTCTGAATCCACTTGTTGACACGAAAGGAGGAAAGAGCCACATATGGAAATATTTTGGATTAGGCTAATGTCACGTTGCCATAAGAGGCCGATTACATGCAAATTCGCAATTTCAAATATAGGCGCGAGGCAAGCGCGCTCATAATAAAAACTCGTTGCATAGCAACGACAGACGCCGCGTGAGAGCAAGCGCTTTGGAAAGAATAAGCACGCGCAAAAATATAATAAAAAACACGCGCGATATGTGAACGGCCTCTAAAGTGCTTTCGGGGTAGTTTTACGAGTACATGAGCACAGTATCCACCCGACACCAGAGTACTACTGGTATTAGTATCGATGCATCCCTATTTATGTCATTTAATGTCAGTGCTAGTTCTAGGCGTATTCTTGCCTTTATAACTCAGCAGTTTTAAAAAACCTTTTCAAAATTAAATATGAATGCAGTTTTAGATTAAATAAAAGTACAGTCAAATCAAATAAAACATGTTTTTTCTCCTGTAGCCTATAGTTTGCTAATGCTACAATAAGATACCATTTATCAACATTAGCTACTTCACATCAACACATTGAGTGAACAATATATTTTTACAACATTAATTAATGTTTGTAAATGTTATTTAATAGAAACACTTGATTGTTCATGTTTGTTCACTTCATTCATTGTGCATTAAATAAATGTTAACGGATTAGAACTTTACAAACAACTTTAAAAATGTGTTAGTGTATACTATTGTTTATTTTAGGTCATTTTATCTAATTTTTTTCTAAAGTGTTTATAATGCAAATGTACAGTTTCCATACTTTTAACCGTGATAAACACTTGGTACCGAAATTGGTACCGAGAACCGTGAATTTTTACTGATATTGGTACCGAATACTGAAATTTTGGTACCGTGACAACACTACCAATACATATATTTGTTGGTTTTAAAATCCGATATATCGGCCGATATTATTTTTTTTTTTTTTTTTTTTATTTCAGAAACGCACAACAAAATATTGAGTTAAGATAACTGATGGGGATGTTCTTTTAATAGTTATTAAAGCAATGTATGTCTCGTGACCAACTCACAATGAACACACTTCACCGATTATCTCACTCACGGATAACTGGTTCTCTCTGCCAAACTCTGGCTGGATCAGCAGGTTACAGGATGTGTGGCGCGTTATACACGAGTGTTGCCAACAGGGACGGTGTAGAGTGCCCTTTGGTGGACAAACTATACAACTCCAACACTCATGACATGGTTGAAGCGTGATTCGTTCCTTTTTATTTTATTTTTGAAATATTAATTTATCGGCCATTATAACTGCCGATACCGATGTTTTAGAAAATGCCTAATATCGGCCGATAATATCAGTCTGCCGATATATCGGTCTGGCTCCAAAATATGTATCTATAGCAGACTGGTGGGACTGGCCTTGGGCGGCATCCTGCCCAGTGCATTATGGGGTCAATTTGGCAAAAGGGAATTCATCACCTTTTTTCAGATAGCACCGATTTCAAAACATTTTCACCCTTCTACCGCATAGGCAGGCAAGTTTTACTGAAAGCCCTTTAAGAGATGTGCACACAAATATACTGTATGGTTAAAACAGAACACAATGCTTATCAGAAGATGCACACGTTGCCTCTGCATGTTTATCAACATAAACAGAAATGATAAGTGAAGCATGTTGAACATGCAGAAATGGTGTGAGCGTGCCCAATTTAGTGTGAAGGTGCGCTGGCACAATCAGGATCAGCTGCATTCATGCTCAAGGGTCATGTTTGGTCATGATGCTGGTTTCATCATACTGCCGGATCAGCAAAGTCGAAACATCCAAAAATGTAGGCTATTCCTTTCCACTAGCACGGTTAGTCCTCACTGTCCACACAGACCACCAATGCAAACTAAGCAACGAGTGATTGCATAACAACTATGAGCTCATTACCTTATGACCTTGCACATTTGCAATAATAATGTTTAAAAGTTTGGGGTCAGTATGATTTTTTAAAAAGAAATTAATTTTATTCAGCAAGGATGCATTATAATAATCAAAAGTGATAATACAAATATTAATAATGTTATTAAAAAAACTATTTCAAATGAATTTCATTCTTTTTAACTTTATATTCATCAAAGACTGCAATTTCTCATAACACGAGAAACGTTTCTTGAACAGCAAATCAGCATATCAGAATGATTTCTGAAGGATCATGTGACTGGAGTAATTGTTCTAATTGTTTTAAAATGTATTCAAATAGAAAACTGTTATAAGATTTCACCATCTTGCTTTTGGCATAAAAGGTTTCTTTAAAAAAAACATCCAAAAAATCACATTGAACACAAACGTTTGCAGAAGTCTTAAAGGTACAGTAGCAAGCCTGGTTTTAATGTTTTAATGATCATAAAGAGGCTGATAAAGGGTAAAAAAAATAACTAAATCATCATAGTTTTGAGGGAAACAAATCTTTATTAACATTCTAAAAATGCAACAACAACAAAAAGAAGTCAATGACTGTTTTAAAATAATTCATAATAAGGGAAAGAATAATAGTGTGTGTACCATTAGCTAATTTAATCATTTTACATTTAGCAAACATCTATTAAGTAACCGTGATTCATGCTGGTTGCCTCAAGAAAAGAAAATACTTAACATGATGGCACACAGTCATCCTGGCTTCACTTTCCTGATTTTAATCCATGCTGAACACGTTTTTCCAGCTTGCTTGTAAAAAACAACAAACAACAAGTGCACCATCACAATCCCCCACAACCTAATCATGGTCCTATTGTTAGGGCACGGGCGATAAGTGACGCTTTAATCTCACATCCAAAGACCTCTATGCACATAAAACTCTTTCAAGTCAGATGATGGGTAGGAAATGCAGTCCCATGGGGAACAGACCGCAATAACTACCTGTACATCTGGAAGACACATGTTGCACAAACATTCGTCTAAGGGCATCTACAACATCCATCTACTGCTGGGCGGCACACATAAAGCCCTGCCTCTGAGATCTGGTCCACATTGAACCAGAGCCAAAGCATCGTATTAAATAAGCATTCTAGGTAACAACACAAGGAAGACGCCTTCAGAGCACGATTCTGGCAGCACTGGTGAGCACTACACTGCTGAAGCACATAAAGACCACACAGGGATTGAGAAATCTATCCGGACCATAGTCTCACAATAGTCTAATAACGCTCAGAATCTGAACACTGTGTGTGCAGCAACATTTCTTTTCTGGGCTCCTGATGCTTGAAGAAAATTTACAGCTTTCTTTGATGTCTTTGAACTCGGTAGTGAAAATCTGAGCAATGAATCAATAGAGCAGAGCGCATTAAAAAGGATGACAACTACTTCAGAAACAAGTACACAAGAAAAGCAGCAAAAATGTTGGGGGTTTTTATTGTTAAAGTCGGCATGAAATCAAATTTGACAAATCTTCTTTTTATATGTAATATTTAGGGTTGGGTATCGTTTGAATTTGAACAA